ATATCCGGATATGGATACGAAAATCCGTGTCCATGCACAGGTCTGGTATATTGTATAGACAAGTGTTTTAAATAACCCTTTTTATTAATTATCTTTTTTGTATCTCCCTATACCCAATTTCCTTTAAATAAAATTCTTAAAATTTATTTTTATAGAAAAGAATCCAAGTCACATTCTTTATCAGCTACTTCATTCTCTTCATTATCCTCCCCTTTGTTCACGTATTTTCCATATCAGCACTCTGAAAGCAACAACAACAACGACCATATCCCTCCTCCAATACTTTTACCCTCCAAATTTAATAAAAATAATTTTCTTTCATCATCAAATACAACCACCACACATATCCCTTCAATCGTTTTTGATCGACACAGCGCAGAGGCTTTGGTTGGTAGTGTTGATAGTTTTGGAAACGAAAACAGGTAAATTTAATTTTTACAAAATCGAGATCAGTCCGTTTCCGAAATCTTTGGAAGGTATTTAACTATTCTGAAGGTATTTTAACTTTTCTGGTATCATTATGGTAAAAGCGAAAATGAGTTATGTCCTAGGTAGCAGTCTTACCTAATGACAAACAGAATAACACAAGAATAGATTATAACGTCTATCCGAATGGTAAATACAATAATAATGAAGGTGGCAAAAGACGAGAATGACTAAGGACACCGAGACTGATCGCTAACGACTCCTTTTGTACTAGACCCACACATACCTAACAAAAAGTTAAAGATTGGGTTGTGTCGTCAAAGAAATACTTAGATTACTTGTTTTTCCATTGTATTAAGTTCCAAAGTCTGAGTGGATTTAAAACTTAGAATAAATTGCTAAAATATACAAATCTGAAAATATGAAACAGAAAAAGGTGACAAGCTAGTAATTATTATAATATGATTATAATTATCGATAATTATAATTATTATAAATAATAATTATCATTATATTATCGACAGCTGAACAAAGAAACACTGTTCTAAAATCTGCGATTTACTTTAACGTCATTAAACAATTGTAATAAAAAATTTTCATTCAAGTCTTTATTCATGAACAATTTTTTCTTTTTTAATTTTCTACTTCTTTATCATTCTCTTCCTCATTTTCAGGTTTTTCGTTAAGATCAAATGGATAAATATTTAAATTTATTTGATTTGTGTCTTTTTCAGTAATTTTATCTTTCTCTTCTACCACATTTTGATTTTGCTCATCCACAGAAGTTTCCTCCGTTTCGCCTTCATTACTTTCTTCCTCGCCTTGAAGAATTATATTTCCGTCTTCAGCCTCAATGTTTCCTTCATACACAACAGGCAATTTGCCTTTATCAGTCTTTGGATTGTCAGATTGAACGTTTACTCGTATTGAACTTTCATTTTGTAGATTTTGTTTTTCAATTTTCTTTTTTAGCCAGTATTTTCGTTTATATTCTTTATTCTTTTCTTTATTATTTTGGTTATATTTTGCCGCAATTTTTTTAACCTTTTCTTTATTATTCTTGCGATAATTCTTCATATACTGACGATTTTTTTCTTTGTATTCATTTGTACTTCTGTGATTTTTCATATATTGTCTCTTTTTTTCCTTGAAAGCTTCATTTTCTTTCCTCTTTTGGTTGTAATATTTATCATACTCGGATTTCTTTAACTTCTTCTCTGCTTCATTATTTCCAGTTTTGTTCTTTTTTGTATTTCTTGTATCGATAGAATCTTGAGTTAAAGTCTCTATTCGATTTTCATCTATAGATGATTCAACACTCTCATTTAAGCCTTCATTTAAATCCTTTGAGGTTTCCTCAACTCTAATCAACTCGTTTTGATTTTTATTATTTTTAACAGAATTAATTAAACTCCATAATATCGAATTGAAAATTAAAAATATTAAAACACTAATTAATTTCATTTTAAATTAATTTTAAAAATTTATTCAAAATTTTATTGTATTTATAATTTTTGTAACTAATATAATAATAGACATTCTTATATTATGTAATTATTTAAAAAATAATTATGACGCAATAAGAATTTTATCTAATGCCGCAAAGAGTATTTTATTTATTGCCTATTGGCAGACAAATTAAGAAATATTCAAGCACTTTAAAAATATGATTTAATAAACAAATAAATATTCAGTGAAAGGAAAGTGCATCAATAATAAATATTTCTTAAGAAATTAAAGAAAAAAGATTCAAATATTTCTTCCGGTAATCGACTAGAGTAAGTCGAGCATCGAGTAGGATACATATCAAGGGATTAAGAGGTATTTGGGCTGATTATTGTGAGATTTGGTTGTATTAAGAGCAAAATCTGTGAATTTCGGGGGATTAATTGAAATATCCTCGGATCAGGTAAATCGTCGAAAGCTGATCACGAGATCCGCCTCTTCTATCCCCCTCTTTTTGCTGATTTTACCCACACTTAATCCCTTAATATCCTTTGATATCCTTCCAAAACAATTTGTATTGGTTCAAAACCATCTTGATTCTTCCAATCCCTCTTGATCTTTCGATATATAAACTTATTAGCTGGCAAAAATAAAATTTGTAAAAAATACCGATACCAAACCGGAAAATTTTTGAAAAAATCGGTATTTTTTTGGTATACCGAATACAGAAAAATCCATTTGCCGACCACTAAAACCTCATTGAGGGTAATGAAAATGTACTTTAAAAACATATAATTATTTTGTAAAATTTAGTAGAGACACAAGTAGTGGAACAACAGTGGACATCGTTGATCGAGCACCCTTCTACGTTGGGGCAGGAGGAAGGCTGCCTATTGGGGAACCAAAGATGAGCAGCTTAGAGAAATTAATCAGGTTAGTTCATATAATTTTTAAAATTATTATGTATCACTTGATGTTGCTAAAGAATTTTTAAATAGCGGAACAAACGAGATAAAGTAAAATAAATTTAATATACATAGATACCTACAACTCTAGCAACATCATTGATACACACTAGAGATCCTACCGTCCTGATTCACGAAATCGGGAAATATGATTTTTTGTTGGCAGGATCCCTGATACATACCTCTATATTACGTACTCCTTTAAAATAATATCCCCTTATTATATTATAATTGAGTTTATTTTGTTTATGAGTATCTTTATTCTAATTGTATGTCATATTAGACATTTGCCTCTAAAATTAATTGGGCGATTTTCTCAACAGTTTAATCCTTAATTTAGATAGTCTTTAAAAAAATATTTTTTGTCAGTAAACAATTTAATTAGCCTTAAAAATTCATTTCTGTATTATAACACTCATAAAACGATATATTATCGGAGTACGTAATATAGAGGGTTTTTCTTTTTAAATTAGGAAATAATTTTTTATTTAAATTTATCCTTAAAAAATTTTAAAAATACTGAACTGTGCCCAAAAGGGCACTTTAAATCCCAATTTATTTTATTAATCTATATTTTAAAATTTATTTATCTCTCCCCGCTCCAAAACACATTTTCACAATTTACTTTTTTCTATTTCACATTTTTCTATCGCCCATTTTTTGTCCCCTATTTAATGCTTTGGCCAACTTCCTTTAATCACTTGTTGTTCCCATCATTTACTTGTTTGGTAATTCATTCTTCACTTGCTTGCTTTTTGATTGCCAGCGCTTTTTGAGCCCTGCCAATCAATTCCAACCAACCTATTTAACTTGCTCGCATTTTAATATTGTTTAAGACCACAAGGGCCTGCTTTGTTGACCTGCAGCCCCAAAATTGTGCTCGGCTTATATTCCCCCGAGGCACTTCAATTATAATATTATTTTGATTAAATAAATATTTTTTAATTGTGTTTTGTGTTTCGTTTGTGTTTTTTCTTAGGGACTCGTTTTTTGGAGATTGCAAATCTCCGTCGACCATAAAACTTAAGGAGCTGATTCGTTCTGATCGAATCCCTCCTGTCCCTCCTCAATTGAACTATCGAGGTATTGTGCACCTACCCTTTCAGCACATTAAATTTGGAGCCCCGTACGGGTCCTGGCAGTCCAATCGCACTGCCCCCGTACTCTTATACAACCAGACCAACTTTTAAGTTGCTCTACTTTATTTTCGCCCCAAGCCGGGCCACAACACATTTTTGAGTGATCTGCCGCCCCGTGCAGGGCCGTCACTCTAATTGGCCAATAGCCTGCCAATTTTACCTTATCCGGCCAATTTCATACCTATTGCCCGGTGATCTTTTGCCCCAAGCCGGGCCTTTACATTTATTTGGCCGATTACCCGCCAAATACATTCCAGTCAGTGTTGTAGCCATTGTTTGGCCGTCACTGTACTTTGGCCAACTTATCGTTGCCTAATACATTTTTCTGGTGTCTTTGCTATTCTCAGGCAGACACTAGCCCTTTTTACCCCCAAAGCGGCAAAACCAACTTTTGCAGTCAACCTTCTCTATTGACTGCACATTTTCATTTAACTTTGGCCAACTTTTGTTGCCCATTGTTTTTTCTAGTGACTTTTCCCCTTTTCAGGCGATCACTAGTTTTTTGCCCCCTAAGTGGCAAAAATAACCACCTGCAGTCAACTTTCCTATTGGCTGCACATTTTACATTTTTGGCTCTAGCCAGCCACTACACAAATTACAAAAGCGATTGCTCATCCCTTTTCACGGGACATCGCTCTTTTTCCTTCCTTTTGTCACTGCTTGCACGGGCAGTCACATTCTTTCACATATTTACCAAAAATAAATAAAAAAGTGCTAACTTTCCACTTTTTTCAACCTAAAAACATTTTTATATTTTTTCCAGCCTAACCAGTTTTAAAGCCCAAACTTGGCCTTTAATCCTGCTTTAGCCTATCAAGTTCGAGAATCATTATGCCTTCATCCGGTCCAATCAGAAGCCAATTAGGACCGGCACTTAAGGCCCTCAAGGACCATCTCGCCGCCGCCACCGAGCTACTGAGAGCTGGCGCCGAGCGGGACCTATTACAACTCCGAGGTGAGCACCATCACCTCGGCCGTACCCTGAGCCGTGTCGACGACCTGAACGAGAAATGGTCGAACCTCATCGACCGGCTCGAGGGAGAATCTCTGGAGGCCGAGGAGCGAACCTACCAGGATTTCCCTCCTCCCGCAGCAGGAGAGGGAGTACAAGTCAGACAACTGCATTTCATGGAAATTGCGGAACAAGCTAGGGGAGTCCTCAACGAAATTGAGTATCTCCTCGCCGAACCTGATGAGGCGAGCAGTCAAGCAAGTCAAGGTTCACGTCAAACCTTAACCGAAACAGAACAGCAAGAACAGCACCAGTCTGTTCTTGAACATCAGTCAATTCACAACGAGCAAATCAATCAACATTTCAATCAACAACATTACCAGCAAGTCGATCCACAATTCAATCAACAACATTACCAGCAAGTCGATCCACAATTCAATCAACAACCTTACCAGCAAGTCAATCAGCAATTCAATCAACAAACTTATCAGCAAGTCAATCCACAAGTCAATCAACAACAATTTCAACAAGTCAATCAGGAGTTTAATCAGCAACAAGTAAGTCGTTTCCAGCCAGATATTAGGTTGCCCGAACTTCGCTTGGATCCTTTTAATGGGGATCCCAGGAAGTGGCCAACCTTCTGGCAGCTATTTTCTGCCAACATTGACCAGCGTCCTATGGATAATATCAGGAAGATGAGCTACCTGCTTACCTTCCTCCAGGGCCCTGCCAAGGAGTTAGTCGCGGGTTTCGTTCTTTCGAACGAGAACTATACGCGAGCTCTCGATTTGCTTAAATCTCGGTATGGAGACAGCAGAGCCATTACCGAGGCTTTAGAAGCCGAGCTAATGAATCTGCACCCCGCCAATGAGAGTACTTATTCTCTCCGCGGGTTTGTCGACAACATAGAACGCATTTGTCGCCAGCTCGAGGCGTATGGGCACGTTGATTCGTCCCCGTTCGTCTCGACCGCTATTAAATCTAAGTTACCACAGCAAATCGTTGCGAAATTAGTTGAGAAGGAACGTGGTTCTGGAATACGGTGGAACTGTGCCCAGCTCAGAAAGGAGCTGCGCGAAATTGTTGAGATCAAAGAAGAAGTACAACGATGCTCTACCGTAACCAGAGTCCGGCAGGAAATAACTAATCCTCCCGTACAGAGGAACAAGGTAGCCCAGAAGGGAAGACCGCCTGAATTAACGCGCTCTTTCGGGGCGCCTATACAGTCAAGACAAGAAAACCGCCGTCTGTTTAGAGGACCGCGCCGTTGTTCATTGTGCGATATTGTCGGCCATCTTCCGTCACAATGCCCGAAATATCCCACGCCGCAAGATCGCTTTCGTCGCCTAAGGGCGCAGAACCGATGTGTTCGTTGCCTAAATGAAGGTCACACCTCTCGGGATTGCCACTCTTTTAAAATATGTGGACAATGCCAGGGCGGTCACCACATGTTAGTCTGTACGAAAGGCCGAGAAGACAAAGGGCCTCAAGCAAATTATCGTCAAGTAAATAAACAGAAACCACAAAAACAATTTACCCAAATGGCCGCGACCTCGGAGAAAGGTCCCGCCACAGGTTCAAATTTGACAGAACCTTCAATCGACAACGAGAAAGTACAACCAGAGAAATCAATTACCGCAATGGCTTATTCCCATCTTCGCAAAAAGCCAACCGCATATCTTATGACAAGAAAGATTGCGATTGCCTCACCTAGAGAGCCAAACAAGGAAATCCCTGCATTTGTATTTTTCGATCCAGGGAGCCAGTTAAGCTACATTGTAAAGTCATTAGTGAAAAAATTACGTCCTCCCCAAATTGCCCGTGACGATGTTGAAGTTCACGGCTTTGGCGGGACGTTACGCGATCCGATTAGAATTCGTTCCCCGTCCTATGCTATTTCCATCCAACGAGAGGACGGCGAATGGGAGGAAGTAGAGCTTAATTGGACTAAAGAGATAAGCACTTCATTCGAAATGGCCAACTGGGTAGCCGAAATGCCTACTCAAGTTGCCGATTTTCCTGAAGTCCAGAAAGCAATAGAACTTTCGACGGAAGTCCCGGGAATCATGCTCGGCACCCGTCATTTCTGGAAATATTTTATGGGAAGGACTGAAGTCGCCCCAGGGCTCTTTGTCATTCAAACAGCCTTTGGTCCGGTAGTTGGGGGAGAATCCGATATGAGCCCTCAGGGAGGGAAACTATCGCATTCTCTAGCTACCGTAAGCAACGACAGCGTGGACCAAATGCCTCAATCCAACACAATAGAGGAGTTCTGGAATCTCGAGAGCATAGGTATTCGAGAAAATCCAGCCTCCGACGATGACCAAGTTGCCATAAATCAATTGAAGAAATCAATTACTCAAGATAAGGAAGGAAGATATACCGTAAGCTGGCTATGGCGCGAACCGAGAGCCCCATTACCCAGTAATTACAGAATGGCCTACAGCCGCCTATGTTCAACATACAACAACCTTAATCGATCAAAAGAATTATTAGAAAAATACAATAAAGTCTTCCTTGATTACCTCAAGCAAGGAATTATCGAACCGGCTCAAAAGGACCCGGAAGGCCAAGAACATTATCTTGCCCACCACGCGGTCATTACCCACAAATTACGTCCAGTATTCGACGCAAGCGCCCATCCCCGAGGGCAGCCATCATTAAATGATTGCCTGCTTCGGGGACCGGTCCTGCTTCCTGAGTTTGTCGGATTACTTATCAGATTCCGCCAACCCAAATATGTCGCCATATCCGACATTGAATCAGCATTTTTGATGGTCGGGCTTCACCCTGCCGACCGAGAGGTCGCCAAATTTTTGTGGGTGAAGGAACTTCAAAAGCCCCCTGTAGGCGAAAACATTCAGGTTTATCGTTTCGCCCGGGTGGCCTTTGGCGTTATATGTTCCCCCTATCTTTTAGCGGGAGTTATTCGCCACCATCTTGACAAGTACGGCCCAGGAGTTGCCTCCGAACTAGCCAACAGCCTCTACGTAGATAATTTACACCTAGGGGCTGAAACCTGGCCCGAACTCCTCGACAAGTGCCGAAGGGCAAAGGAGATTTTTTCTGACGCAAGCATGAACTTGCGAGAATTTTCATCCAATTCATCTAAATTGATGAATGCCATTCCCGAGAAAGACCGATTGGACGCACAGGAGCCCAAGGTTCTCGGGATGAGGTGGAACATCAATACAGACAGTCTTAGTTTCCAATTACCCAACGAACCCATGAAAAAGAACGTCTCAAGGCGAGCCGTTCTCAGCTCACTAGCCGGCATATATGATCCGCTAGGCCTATTGTCCCCCTCCGTCCTCCCAGCAAAGCTTTTCTTTCAGAAGCTCTGGGACGAGGGGCACGACTGGGACAGCCCCCTATCCGACGAAGAGACATCCGTTTGGGAAAAATTTCTCAAGGGGTGGCAACACACAAACATTTCTCTTCCTCGGAGGGCGCTCTCAATTACACCTCAAGAAACCGAAATACACACATTTGTAGACGCCTCCTCCTGCGCCTATGCAGCCGCAGTTTACCTTAGAGGGGTAAACAATGATTCAATTTCCACCTCATTGATATTTGCCAAAAATCGCCTCAAGCCAAAGAAAGGCGGTAAAACACTAACAATACCAAGAATGGAATTAATTGCTATTCTTATCGGAGTCAGAGCTACGGCTTATGTAAAGAAAGAGATAGGCGTACCTTTGACTCAAATCCACCTATGGAGTGATTCCCAAATAGCCCTTTCATGGGTTAGATCACCCCAAAGCCAACCATCCTTTGTCCAAAGGAGGCTTGATGAAATAAAGAGACATACCAACATAACATTCCACTATATTCGTACCAATGAAAATCCATCCGATTTAGCGACCAGAGGCCTCACACCCCAAGAGCTAAATCAGAGCCGACTGTGGTGGTCCGGCCCAGACTGGTTGGAGGAAAGTGCTTCCAGCTGGCCCGAGGACCCCAATTTCGAGACATTTAACCTCAAGGAAGCTATAGGAAGTGAACCCGAAGAAAATCACAGTGACCAAGTTTTAACTCTCCAAGCCCAGGTTACCTCGCGCGAAAGCCATCAGCGATTGATCCGCTCGAGCTCCTGGGTCAAATCAAGAAGAATTATGTTCTACATACTCAGGTTCATCAATGTTATACTCGGGATAAAAGGAGCCCCAACGATTGGCCTAAAATCGGTCTCGAAAAATGGGCCTCCAACAGCCTCGGATATCACCTTGGCTGAAAAATATTTAATTAAATGGGAACAAAATGAATGTTCCGAAGAACTTTTAAAATATAAACACATCATAGATAAGGATAAAATCATTCGCCTTCAAACCCGGATGATTAATAGTCAAAGCCCTGAGGGCTTGATCCACCCAATTCTCCTCCCGAAAAATTCTGTCGTGGGCAAACTTGTGATAACTCATATTCACAAGGGATTATGCCACGCGGGAGTAGATTGGACGCTTACAGAATATCTTAATCAGTATTGGCAACCTAAAGCCCGTCAGACGGTGCGCCGTGTTATTTCAGATTGTATGGCCTGTAGGAAAATGAATTCCTATAAATACGCTTTACCTGAAATGCCTCCGCTCCCTTCTGACCGGGTTCAACAAAGGCGCCCATTCCAGTCAATTGGAATCGATTATGCCGGGCCTACCCTTACCAAAGTCAACGGAGCGCTCGTCAAGTGTTGGCTCGTACTTATAACCTGCCTTACAACAAGAGCGGTCTATATTGAACCAACACTTGATCTGACCGCAGCCTCCTTCATAAATGTCTTCCGCCGTTTTATTAGCCGGAGAGGCAAGCCGGAAAGAGTTCTCACCGACAACGGAAGAAATCTCGTTCTCGCTGAGAAAGCAATTAGCGCCGCCTTAGCACCGCTTTTGGCTGACAGTAAGATCGAATGGAAATTTATTCCGGCCCTTTCACCATGGGCCGGAGGCATTTACGAAAGATTGATCGGTTTGGCCAAAACATGCTTCAGGCGTACACTAGGGAAGCAGATTCTACCTTATGACCAGCTTGCCACCTTCGTTGCTGAAGTGGAAGCTGCTCTTAATTCTAGACCACTTACCCACGTTTCAGATGGGGAAGGTACTCCGTTACCACTCAGACCAATAGATTTCATTCAACCGGGCTCTATTCTAAATTTTGACCCCGCCAATAAGCCAAAACGACACGAACATTTACAACCTCACGAACAATTACTCCTCCACTGGAAAGGGACTCTAGAGAACCTAGACTCCCTCTGGACACGTTGGAGAAAAGAGTATTTGGTGCTCCTCCGTGACAATTCCAAATGGAATCACGCCGGACCACGCCTTCAGACCAAATCATCTCCTGAAGTTGGGGACGTTGTTTTGGTAGAAGACTCTATGCAACCGAGAAATACTTGGATCATGGCTCGGGTTGAGCAATTGAACGGCCAACCAGGACCCATCCGAAGTGTAAAACTTCGCATGCCAAATGGTCGAATTACTACCAGGCCGGTAAATCGTATATACCCACTCGAGGCCGGACCCGAATCGAATGACAAAGAAAACATACAACCAGATGACTCTGCTGGTTCAGAAACGGAACCACCAGACCCTGGTATCAAAATCACTAAAAAGATATCACCGTTTGAGGAAGAGGCGGAAGAAGATCCCCCTCCTCCTACACCAATACCTACCAATTTAAGACAAGGAAGGAATATTGATATTCCTTCAACTACCCCAAAACATCGAATGATTACACGCAGCAAAGCTACAGTAATGGCTGCTGCATTATTTGTCCTTTGCTTCTCCTCAATACTATTTTCAACAATTTCAGCTGTTTCGATTATTGAATGCACTGGTTGTCCTTCTTGTCGAGGATGCCTAGTCCATTGCAATAATCGAGGAGTACGAATTTTTGCACCTGAAAAAATAAGTAAAATCCAAATCTGTTGTGCAGAACATTGTCACTTATTTCCCGGACAGCCAGAATTTAATCACATTCTGCCCAAGGAAATGTTAGTGAATAATTATGAGTGCAAGGCAAACTTTTGGGATACAAATAGAGAAAATCCATATGAGGTCTCTGCCCAATGTTCTGCCTTCCACCCCTGTCAATTAATAGATTGCAACTTCTGTCTAGAGCTTTTATTGAACTCAAGATGCAAACCGAAAATGGCAGCCATTGTTGCCTGCAGCGTTCTCTTTCCCATTCTCCTTTTACTCAGCTGCCTCTTCGGAGCCATACAAAAATTTATTAAGCCCTTCGGATTCCTTTTTAAAATATTGAGAAAAGCATTCCGGAGGCAAAGAGAACGTGCAAAAACAATAAAAAGAAAATTAATAATTAAAGAACCAATAAGGAAATTGACCAGAAACATAAAAGAGGTGAAAAAGAAAGGTAGGGAACTGAGACAAGCTAGCTTAATGCGTCTCGCACGTTACGGTATCTTCTCTCTTTTCCTAGCTTCTAACCTTTCACTCGCCAACTCTGATACTGTAGCTGTAATATCACAATCCGAGAGTTGCCGAGTCAATAATGGCACTAGATTTTGTTCGGTCACCAGCTCAACAACATTGAGTTTGTTGCCTGCTGGCCAGCCCAATACTCTCCTAATAAAAAATAAAGTTGGAGAAGTATTAGGAGCTTTGACGTTGACCCTAAAAGCACTAACTCTCGTCTGCAATCCAAAGACAATAGCCTACCTAAGAAGTTACCAGATCAATACCCGTTCAGTCTGGCGATGTCCGACTAGCGGCTCTTGTTCAGGAAGCTTCTGCTCACAAGTCGGGCCAAACACGCATATCCCCGAACTCGTTGAAATAATGGATAAAGTCGGCACTAGTGGATGCCTCGAGCCATCCGCTATGTGGAGTAAGGGATGCGGATTACCTACAGCCAGCTGTCACTTTTACCGCTGGTACGCAGTCCCCATGTCCCTTGATGTTTACGAGCTATTTGAATGTCCAACATGGGACTACCACATAAAAGCAGATCTCGCGATTACAGTCAATGATAATGTTCTAGAGGAATTTTTGACTTTAATACCGGGACTGACCCATCACGGAACAAACATATCATTAACACCAATAGCTGTCTCTAACCCTCCGGCACCAATTTTAGGCACCTCTTTCCTAACGCATGGCTTTTCTGTTGCTTTAGGAAAAGATGTACCTCGAGACTTAAAATGTCCCGATCTACCAAGTGCCCGAGGTTTTGGCTGTAGCATTTCTGAAGAGGCGTGCCGAGACTGTCGCCACGCAAATGATACAGTAACGTGTCAATGCCGAGAGTTTGACGCGGAGGCGATTCTTGCCGACCCAGAGGCACGTCTCCCCCTCAACATCGGCCGGCACACCTTCCTAACAGATGGAGAGCAAGTTTATGTTGAACAAACTTATACCCCTATCCAAATTCACTTACAAATGAAAAATTTCCAACTAATATCAGAAATCACTGAGTCGTCCTGCAAAATCACTGCCAAGAATGTTCGAGGTTGCTATAAGTGCCTTAAGGGCGTCCAAGTAAATTTTACTTGCACGACTGATTTTGGCACGGCACTCGCTTATACCCGATGTGCCGATGGCATTAACTTCGTTACTCGTTGCTCTAAAAACGGAACGGAGGGAATTGCCGCTTTTACCTACACCAGATCGAGAATCGACACTATTTGTACGACCAAATGTCCGGGAGGTGACTCGGAATTTAATCTCAAAGGAGAGCTGATGTTTATCCCTCTCCCGTGGAAAGAAAGAGAGATAGTACAATCGATGTCCGGGCAAAAGACATCGGTCTGGAATTTATCAAATTTCAGCCCGTACTCACTTTTCCCCGCACTACCAATTGGATTTATCATATCTCTTCTCTTTGTTTTAATTTCTCTTCTAATTTTGTTCTATTTCTTCCTCCGGCTTAAATTAAAATTTTTTAGAAAAATTGCGACTCAACTTGTCCCAATTTTTATCGCCATTTTTTTGGCCGGCGGGGAAGGGGCTATATGCCCATTGAATAAAACATCGGCCAAACTTCAAATAAAAATTTGGCAAATACAAAAGAATAATTGTGTGCAAATTAAACATTTAAAAATGTTTTTCTGTCCAACATCTGCACAAATTACACATTTCACATCCCTTTTTGAAAAGTTAGCAAAGGCCAAAAATAAAGCTAACTTTTGTAATTCTAAAGACGCACTATGGCGCATTATTCAACAAGCGCCTGTCCGTCACATTAAATCAAATAAACAAAAGGAAGTAAAAATGAATAATTGTTTACTTCACATTAACTTTACCCATCGAAACACACAGATGGCTATCTTTTTCTTCAATTCTCTGAAAGATGAATTGTTTATTGGAATGCCAAAAATTGGCGGTGCACGAAGGAGAAAGAAGGCAAGGCCATTGGGCCAAAACTTTCTCATCGCACCGCCCAACATTCAACCAAAAAAGTTTGGCTTTATAAATAGCCAGCAAAGCCAAGAAAAATCATTTTCCACTTGGCAGTTTATTCAAAACTCCCAAGCGACCTTTCCATCCATTGCGACTCTAAACCTTTTCCTTTTTCAAGAAATGCAAGCGCAACCCTGCCTCGTACCCCCCGAGTACGAGCCAGGATCTACCTATAGGGAATATTTTCTAAAATGCCAGGAGGTAGGATACACTCCTGACTGGCCACGGAGAGGACAGACAATGGCCGAATACATTCCCAAATCCGTCGGGCGCTTTTGGCCCCCGACCTGGACCAATGACACTCCGCGCCGACGAGCACAGGGTTTGTTGCTCCTCCTTTGGGAGAATTTGACCTATAAGGGTAAGAGGCTGCCGCAGGCAGATCCAATCCTCAGTCCCCCCGCCTGGATCACCGATGTTCAGCCGGGGCAGACTGTTGAGGATTTTTTCCGGGATAAGGGTCAGCCACTGGAGTATCCCGAACTCCCGTGCCTGGTCCTGAAGGGAGGAGTTCGAGGCTCCTCCAGGCAGAGTAGGCAGAGGGTCCGTGCGGTTGGCCACTCTTGCTGGAAAGCAGGCCAACTCCACGAAGAATACTTACCCCTGGAGCTCTTGATATACACCCCGGTTGAATACCCGGAACCGAGGATTGGACATTCCGCCACAGGGCGCAATATTCGACCCTCTTCTAGGGTCGGGAGTTCGTCAACCACACAACCACCACCGGCTCGGAATCCTCGAGAGCCCGAGGTGATAAGAGAGGAGGGGAATGAGGAAGCCCTAAAGATTATAATCCCTCGTGCGTGGCGCCCCATTAAATCCATCTCAATTATTTTTGCTATAATTGCTTTGGCTTTTGCTCTAGGCGCGGACACTGTCCCCGCTCAAGAATTTAACGGTTTTTTACTTTGTCCTTTCTTTCGCGCTCCGTGTTGTTTCTTGCCCTTTGTTAACAACAATTACTTACTAATTTCTAGTATGCCTAAACGTTCCAGCTCTGCTACTGTCAAGGAACAACGAATTATTAAAAAAGCTCGTGAGAGTGCCTTTATTGCAACATTTGGAAAACCTCAAAGTATTGAGGACCAAGAAGAAATGGACCGTTTGGTTAATTCAATGGAAGAGATTCCACGTCCAGACAACAATACAAAATTCATCGAAAGCAATAAGGACTCGCAGAGTCCAAAAACAGCGCTAATTGTTAATCCAGAAGAGGATTTTTCTGCTTCAATTTTACCTTTGACAACACAAATAGAAAATGAAAATAAACAACAACAGCAGCAACAAAACCAACCACCTCCAATTCCTTTAACGACATCCACCCAGCCGCCATTACAATATAAATTGGCAACAGCACTTGCTCCCACTCAATCATCACAAATGGAAGGGCAAGTTACGATTGGAAGCGGAGGAGGTATAAGTGAAAACCCTGAAAATCCCCCAAAATCCATTTATACAGATTGCAGCCTCGAGGAGCGCATATCAAATGCCCTCCTTACCTGCATCAGTAAATTGACTGAAAAGGCCGTGGCTATTCCGCCACCAGCTTCTACCTCTCAAATTTATGGTGCGCCAACATCAATGCCGTCCGTTAAACAACCGACCGCTTTCCCACCTCCGGAGGTTAAGGGTGCGATTCCTCGACCTATCCCATTGTCTCGCGTTGGAGAAACGGACCATGGGGAAGTAGGCCCTCGAGGTGATCCTCGTCGCCCTACTCCTTATGCTCGGGAAGCTGCTGGGGGCCGGCCTGTTCGCCCGGCCCTCGGTCGTTCACCACTGGTCGACCAACACCTCCGAACTCTGCGTATCCAGGCAGAACAACTTAATCGATCAGTTGGCCGAGCTCTTGCAGATTTGGAACAAGAAAAATTAGAAGAGCCAATCCATGATTTTTTGGCAATAGAGGGAGGAATTACACGTGTTTTGAAATCCATTCGTACCACCATTTCTCGCCTTCCCCCTCGCTAAATGTTTTTCCGCCGGGGCGGGGAGTGTGCCCAAAAGGGCACTTTAAATCCCAATTTATTTTATTAATCTATATTTTAAAATTTATTTATCTCTCCCCGCTCCAAAACACATTTTCACAATTTACTTTTTTCTATTTCACATTTTTCTATCGCCCATTTTTTGTCCCCTATTTAATGCTTTGGCCAACTTCCTTTAATCACTTGTTGTTCCCATCATTTACTTGTTTGGTAATTCATTCTTCACTTGCTTGCTTTTTGATTGCCAGCGCTTTTTGAGCCCTGCCAATCAATTCCAACCAACCTATTTAACTTGCTCGCATTTTAATATTGTTTAAGACCACAAGGGCCTGCTTTGTTGACCTGCAGCCCCAAAATTGTGCTCGGCTTATATTCCCCCGAGGCACTTCAATTATAATATTATTTTGATTAAATAAATATTTTTTAATTGTGTTTTGTGTTTCGTTTGTGTTTTTTCTTAGGGACTCGTTTTTTGGAGATTGCAAATCTCCGTCGACCATAAAACTTAAGGAGCTGATTCGTTCTGATCGAATCCCTCCTGTCCCTCCTCAATTGAACTATCGAGGTATTGTGCACCTACCCTTTCAGCACATGAACTAAATTTTATTTATTTTCAATTTTTCATTTTTTATTCAATAAATATTCAATAAATCCCCTTCTCTCAGTCCCTCACCTCTTTTTACTTCCAAAAACAATTTTGCTTATAAAATTGTTAATACAGGAAATTGAAGTGTGCCCAAGTTTATTTAAGAACTCTTAAGCAGCAAAAGCAAGTTTTGCATTTTCTTTCTTTTTATTAGCAAGCTGGACTTGCAAATCTGCAAAGACTAGGTTAAGTCTAAGTCTGTGAACTAAAGAACGGATCAACCGATTTTAATAAATTTGATATCTTTCGATAGGCAAAAAATTCTCTTTAAAATATGATAATAAAATCAACCAAAATCCGTTGTTTTCCTGAATAACTTTCAAATTTTTACCTTCTATGGGCTTATTCAAACCGTTAGACTATTTTAATTATTATTATTAGGGTTTCCATTTACATATATGGAAATCCATATTTTTTTCCTGAATTCCTATGACTGTGAAATGTCTATTAATTTTCCGTCCAAAATACCAAAATTAAATCTAAAAATATTTGCTACAGTTCCACTTTTTGATATACTTTTAAAATTTAAATTTTCATGAGTTTCTCCATTTTTATTTTAACTTGTGAGTATCACCTAGGTCCAATCTCAACCCATTGGCCAATTAATTATTTAAAAAATTATTTATTTCAAAATCAATTTATTTTACATAGACTCTTAATTCTAATAAAATATTTTGGCATTATCGCTATAACTGCATAATTTTAATTAACTACGCTTTTATTTAAACTACAAAGATGTCCATCTACCGAAACAGGGGGTAAGATATGTTTCAAATGTATATTAACGGATATCTTTGATATTCTGTCTTTACATTTTTCATTAATTTATTTAATGTTATTAAAAGTAGTCGGCAAAACTTGTTAAAATTCTCTTACAAATTCATTACTAATTCTCTGAATTCTAACGGATGAATCAAAAACGCGTAGTCTTCGCCCCGGGGGTACTTTTTCAATTCAAAACCTTACTATAGGTTTATTTATGATTTTATTTCCAACCTTAGAAACGTGAAAAAAATATAATAGTAAACGCAAAAAAAGACAGAAAGTAATAATTTTACGTTTTCAACTTAATTTTTTGTTGATTTAAAATATTCATACCATCATAAGAAATTTAAATATCATCCAAAAAATTTAAATCGTCTAAATTGTTCAGATCATCCAAATCTTTCAAATCATCTTGCTTAGTAATTTGACCATATTGAGCATTTTTCTGTTCAAAAGTGCAAGCAAATTGCTCAAATAAATCATTAACAGAATCTTCAGTTCCTGAAGGATATACTCTATTATTTTCGTTTTTATTATTAAAAGACTGGATTAAATTATTCTTTTGTAAATAATTATGGCGCTGGTCTAGTTTATGCGTCCAATTAAACTTTTATGAGTCCAATCAAACTATTATGAGTCCAATCAACAAAAAATTAGATTTTTCATGGTATGGTTCCAAAACATTTTTCATGTTAGGGATCTACGCCCACTGGGTTTGGAACCATTCCTTTCCCTATCTCTCGAAATTTCGGAAAGTTATAGTTGTTTTTCCGAAATTTTTAAAAATTGGCTATAACTTTATGAAATTTCGAGGGATAGGGCAAGGAAGGGTCTCAGACCCAGTGGGCTTAGGTCCCGAACATGAAGCAATGTTTTGGAACCATACCCCTACTTTGCAATACTAAGAAAAATCCAATTATTTTTTTATTGGATTCATAAAGTTTCATTGGACGCATAAACTAGACCAGCGCCATAATTATTATACTGTTGATTATCAGAAGAAGTTCCTTCATTATTATGAGATTGAATTTTGATTAATTTTAAACAATCATTTTGTTGAATATCATTTTTCTTTCTTAGTCGGTATTTTCGCATACTTTCAAGTTTCTTTTCCTTATTATTATGGTAGTATTTTCGAGAAGATCCTCGCATCTTTTCCTGGTTATTTCGGTAATAAATTCTCTTGTATTCTTGCCTAGCTTCTCTATTCTTCTGATAGTAATTTTTAAGATATTCTTTTCTATGTAACCTTTTTTCGTTATAATTATTTTCAGTTTTATCATTTTTAGTAATTTTAGGCTTAAATTTTAATATTTCTTTATATTTTTGATTTAGAGGATTAGTTGATGATTCAGCCCCATCATTTAATACTTTACTCAAATCCTTTGAGGGTTGCTCAACTATATTTAACTCGTTTTGATTTTTATTATTTTTAACAGAATTAATTAAACTCCATAATGTCGAATTGAAAATTAGAATGATTAAAACACTAATAAATTTCATTCTAAATTAATTTTAAATTAAAAAAATAATTTTAATAACGAAAAATACTACAAGAAAATATTTTTTATAAGACGGAATAGAGAATTTATAAAGTCTGTGATTTTGCACTTTGAAATTTCGAAAATGAAAAACAACGAAATAAAAAATTAACGTAATGCACTTTTATAGATAAATAACATTTTATTATTTATTATGAAACCTTGTACTTTAATTCGTCTTAAAGTACAAAATAAATATTTATTTTGAATAAAAATGCGGAAATATTTATTAGAAATTTATAAAATTCTAAGATAGTTGCCGACTATATTCAAAATTAACTTACTTAGAATTTCATAATTTACTCACGCTCATTTTTAATAAAAATAGGGGCCGCAAAAAATATGTGCTGTAAATAAATGTCTAAAAATAATTTAGACTTTCTCCAAAAAATTATAAAGTTTCAAAAACTTTATTAAAAAGAATAAAAAAAATATAATTTATTTTAATTAAAAATTTTAATTGTTGAGCAAAATTAGTAGAATGAAAATTTATGTAAGGAGCGAAAGAAATATCAAAAAGCTGGCACAAAATTTTGTAACTTTAAACATACTCTGTTCCTTTGCGCAGCTGCATTAAAAAGAGAAACTTAAAAATTTATAAATAAAAATTAATTTTAAGATTAAAGATTAAAAATAAATTTATAAAAAATTAATATTTAATAATATTAATAAATATTCAAATATAATAATTTAATAATTATTATTATATCAGTTTTTTTACATTTTAATAAAAATTTTCTGATATCTATTGATTATAAATTTACATATTGTAATGTCTGTTGAATAAAATGTACAAGATTTTATATTCATACAAAACCAAAAGTGAACGGCAATAGGAAGAAAAATAAGCATATATAAAGAATACGGACACAAAAAGAAAAATTACAGGCCAAAGTTTATGTTTTTAAAAAAGGATGGGAAAAATTATTCAGATTTAGTTAGATAAAAAGTATAAATAAAATATGTGTTAATGGAAAAAATACTAATTTTTAATTCCAACTTCGCTTCGCGACAATATGTAGAATAGTTAAGCTATAAAATTTTAAATAAATTGATTTTTCTATCAGTATTATATATAAATTAATTCATGTTAATTATTTTGCTTGCAAAAATAATTTGATAAAATTTTCAGAGAAAATTTTTTCCAAAAAAATTTTTTGACAAAAATTTTTTGAAAAAATTTCATATTTTACCAGAAAATAATTTTTTAGACAACAATTTTCTCAATAAGTGCCTAAATATGTCAAATTTTACAAAAAAATGCACAATAGGCCTTTTCACATATTTTGTACTTACATTCACTCATTTCGTTTCTACATTAACCACATTTCACTTATTTTGCTTGAAGAACGAAAAATGATTGACATGAAGAAGAAAATAATCTCTGACGATTTTCTACGTTTAAGGAAAACTCTGAGACTTAAAATAGGAGGGGGTGACATATCCATAAAGTACCAAAATTATATTTTTTTCAAATTTTCTTCACACTTCACAGATTAAATTATATTATACCTCTTTGATAATCTCTTTGATAATCTAACATTGTTATTAATAATAAAATAATAAATAATCTAATGTAAGGATGATTCATCCAGCAGCATTTAAAACGCTTAGGCGGGGGTTAAACGATCTAAAAAGAAAAAAGAGAAAGCATTAGTCGATGCCCCGGTAGCTCAGAGGTAGAGCTCCTGCATATAGCGAGCGAAAGCGGGAGGTCGCAGGTTCGAATCCTGCCCGGCGGCTAAACTTTTGCAAAACTCTTTCTCTAACATTATAATCTAAAAACTAAAGACATACTAAACTTAAAGACATATCTAAGATGAAGGATCGCTGAGTACTTGATACCTGTTTTTTTGTGAGAAAAAACTGGTCAAGTTAAGGCAGGAATTAAAAACCACAATAGAATAAAGTAGAAAGAAGCTGCATACAAAACCAAAATAGGAAAAAATAAGAATATATAAAGAATATGGACACAAAAAGAAAAATTAAAGGCCAAAGTTTATGTTTTTATAATAGAAAAAGGATGGGAAAAATTCTTTAAATTTAGGTAGATAAAAAGTATAAATAAAATATGTGTTTATGGAAAAAATACTAATTTTTAATTCCGACTTCGCTTCGCGACAACAAAATTGTTAAAAATACAATAAAATAATTTTTTTAAATACAATAAACAATAAAATAGTTCAATGAATATTTTATTTTAGAAATTTTATAATATTTGTGCAATCTTCATTTTAGATTTCTTTAATAGTCTGTTATTATTTAATTTTTTGATCACTTCAGTTTAGTAAGGCAGATACGCTATCTAAGAAGAAGGATCACTGAGTACTTGATCAGTTTTTCGACACAGATTTTTCGTTATAAGACTTAGTATTGATGAGTTGAATTTTAGAAAATTTTTGTCTAAATGTTTAGTAATAAATTTTAGTTTTTGAAAAATTTAGACATTGAAAAAAATAGGTCCTCCTCCAAATAAGCCCACTCTAAAATAAGCTTCCTCTAGAGAACCTCGGGGTTTATTTTAGAGGGTCTTGGTTGTAGTAATTAAATAAATATTTTTTTTAAAAATTCTTAGCATCACTTGGTTGATTTTTTTGTTCGCAAGACCAATCTATTGGGCAAATTAAATTATTCAAACAATCATCCGTCAGTGTATTAGCAAATGAATTTCCTTCGTTGTGAGCAGATTGAGAAGGAGCATCTTTTTGTGGATGAATATTTTCTTTATCAAACTGAACGTTCTCTTTAGAAACAATCGGCTCTTTTCCTTTATTTCCACAATCAGTATCCTGTGGATTAACAAATGATGTTCCTTCGCTAGTATCAGCTTGAATGTTTATTAATTTTGGATTTTCATTTTGTTGAATTTCTTTTTCAGTTTTCTTTCTCAGTAGGTATTTTCGCATATATTCCTGCTTCTTTTCTTTATTATTTTGTCTGTATTTTCTTTGAGCTTCAACAATTCTTTGTTTATTCTTTTTATAATAATCACATCTATATTCTCTCAGTTTTTCTTTATTTTTCTGGTTGTGTAATCTATTTTTTTGGCTTTTTCTTGGTGATTCAAGAAATTGATTCAGATTATCTAGAAAATTCTGATCTTCTAAAAGATGACCTAAATTATTTAAATCATCGTCATGTTGGTTAAGTTTTCCATCATGAAAATTTACGTTTTCAAAAGCGCACATAATTGGGTCGTTTAAATTAGTACCACAATCATAATTCGTTTGCGAACTAAACGATTTTTCTTCAACATTTTTAAAAGGTTGAACGGGAGTATTATTTTCTTGTTGATTAATTTCTTGATCAAGCTGAGCGTTCTCTTTAGAAACAATCGGCTCTTTTCCTTTATTTCCACAATCAACATTCTGTAGATTAACAAATGATGTTCCTTGGTTTGTATCAGGTTGAATGTCTCTTAATTTTGGATTTTCATTTTGTTGAATTTCATTTTCAGTTTTCTTTTTTAATCTGAATTTTCGCATATATTCGAGCTTCTTTTCTTTATTTTTTTGGTTGTATGTTCGATTATGTTCTCGTCTTTTTTCTCTATTATTTCGCTCGTATTCTCTTCTAACTTTAGCCGACCTTTCCTTATTTTTCTGTTTGTAGTCTTTCATATATTCTTGCAATTTTTCTTTGTTATTTTGGTAGTATTCTTTTCTAACTTTATCCAATCTTTCTTTATTTTTCTGATAATATTCTTGCCATTTTTCTTTGTTATTTTCGTAATACTTGCGAATCTTATTTTTATTCTTTTGTTCGTATTTTTCTTTTTTCTCCAGCTTTTCTTCCTCATTATTTCCAATTTTGTCCTTTTTAGTGATTTTAGTAAACTTTGTATTTAAAGCCTCATTAAGATTAGATTGAGATGGAGCATCTATCTGAGGATGAATATTTCCTTGATCAAACTGAACGTTCTCTTTAGAAACAATCGGCTCCTTTCCTTTATTTCCACAATCATTTTTCTCTGGATTAATAAAAGATGTTCCTTCGCTATTATGAGCCTGAATATTTATTAATTTTGGATTTTCATTTTGTTGAATTTCGTTTTCAGTTTTCTTACTTAATCGGTATTTTCGATTATATTCTTGCTTTTTTTCTTTATTATTTTGGTAGTATTTTCTGCTAGCTTTACACAATCTTTCTTTATTTTTCTGATAGTAGTCTTTTTCTTTTCTATCTTGGTAATATTTTCGAATTTTTTCTATATTCTTTTGGTAGTATTTTTTATGTGCATCTTTTTTCTTTGATTTTTTTCATTTTTATTATTTCCAATTTCGTCTTTTTTAGTGATTTCAGTAAATCTAGATGATTCAGCGCCATCATTTAATATTTTATTTAAATCTGTTGAGGTTTCCTCAACTCTATTTAACTCGTTTTGATTTTTATTATTTTTAACAGAATTAATTAAACTCCATAATATCGAATTGAAAATTAAAAAGAATAAAACTTTAATAAATTTCATTTTAAATTAATTTTAAATTTAAGAAAAAATAATTTTATTAATAACGAAAAGTACTACAAGAAAATGTTTTTTATAAGAAGGAATAGAGAATTTATAAAGTCTGTGATTTTGTACTTTCAAATTTCGAAAATAAAAAACAACAAATTAAAAAATTAACGTAATGCACTTTACTTTTAACGATAAATAACATTTTATTATTTATTATAAAACCTTGTACTTTAATTACAAAATAAATATTTATTTAAAATAAAAATGCGGAAATATTTATTAATATTTGTGAAAAAATTTATGAAATTCAAAGTCAGTTTCCGACTCCTATATTCAAAATTATTATCAACATAGAATTTCATAATTTCCTCACGCTCATTTTTAATAAAAATAGGGGCCGCAAAAATAGGTATTGTTAATAAAATCTAAAACAAATTTAGACTTTATCCAAAAAATTATAAAGTTTCAAAAAGTCCAATGAAAGTTTATGAGTCCAATGAAGATTTACGAGTCCCATGAAAGTTTATGAGTCCCATGACAGTTTATGAGTCCGATCAAAGGTTTATGAGTCCAATCAAAATTTTGACTATATGAAAGGAGTGCCTCAGATCATATTTTTTCTTACTTCCTGGGACGATGTCGTAATGGTCAATTTTCCTTAGTATTTAATGTTTGTCGTAAGGTGATTTAGTAATCACTGAACCATTGTCAATGCCTTAAGTATATAAAAATTAGAATTTAAACGGAAATTCCGGTTCCGGAAAGTTCCGGCGGTTTTTGGTTCATTGAACCGGAATTCAAATTGGATCCGGCTCCGGTTCACGAATCGATTCCGAGCAATCCTGAACTTTTTTACCCCACTAAGGATTTGTTTTTTTAATATGGGTTGGCCTTGCAATATTCTCAAAATGATCGTCTGGGCGCAAAAAAGGGGGGTAGAAGGTCCTAATTAATCCAGCGAATTTCCCAGATTTTGCTCATAATACACACAAATACACACAAATCCTCTGTCGGGATTAAGGTTAATCCGAAGAAATTCGGTGATGAAATGTGATATCATGTAAATGATGAGGTATCGGGCATGTCAGCCGATTTGGATAGTTCGGTTCGGTTAACCGAAAGAAAAAGTTCCTATTCCGGGATCCGAATCTCAACTCGGATCCGTTTCCGTCGAAATTTCGGTTCCATTGAAACACTAATAAAAATAAATATTGAAGAAATTTGTATTTTTCATTGGACTCATAAATTTTTGATTGGACTCATAAACTTTCATCGGACTCATAAACTTTTGATCGGACTCATAAACTTTCATGGGACTCGTAAAACTTCATTGGACTCATAAACATTTATAGGACTCGTAAACTTTCATTGGACTCATAAAATGTCATTGGACTCATAAACTAGACCAGAGCCGTATCTTCATATAAAAAATTTTTTTTTGAAATCTTCACACTTCACATATTAAAATATATTATATTTCACACAAATCAACTTTTCACATTTTTATAAAGAAATAAATTTTTTACTCTTAAAAATATTTAAAATCCACTTTGCCCACATGCCGCAAGTAATTTAATACTGCTAAAAGACAATTATTGCCTGATCTGTTATATTAAAGTGTATTTATTATTTTAATAATAAAGCTTTATCAACTTGAAAAAAAACATTTCTAAATTTTTTCTTTTAAATAAAGCTTTATTTTTATAATTCTAGACATTGCTATAGGTATTTGTCAGTTCTTTTTGTCCTATCTAAATTAAGTAATTTTTTTTTATTTTATAATTATATAGTTTAATTATTCTTATTTTTAGAGCAAATCTTAAAAACATAAAAAAAGTTTCACTGACAAAACTGCTTTTCAGTTAACTGACTACAGATTAGAATTTTTCTTAAAATCTGCTTAATATATAAAAATTTAAATATTTTTTGTTTAACTGTTCATGTAAATTTTTGTGCTTTTCGGATAAATATCTGTTATTTAAAATTTTTCCTTAAAATCTACTTAATATATAAAAATTCAAATATTTTTTTATTTAAGTTTTCTCTAAAATTTTTGTTTACTTTCAGTCATTCTTATAGTTCATTTTTTAAAATCTGCATAGGGGTATAAAGCTCCTTAAAATTGTCTTTATATCATAATCAATTCTTTAATTTTTATTTTATCCCTCAATAGCTTTTTGGCACTTTTATTTCTAACACTTGTTCTCTTTTCACGCTTCAAAAAGCATCAATTTCAATTCCCCACTATTTTTTTCTTTTATTTCCGCTATATTGCTTAATTCCAATGCTTTTTCAAATTATTTGTCCGATCTCCCTTTACTTAACTTTCAAATTGCCCCATAATTTGGCTGTTCTTTCCCACACCAGATTATGCAGTACACCACTAAAATGCCGTCACTTTTGGTGGCATTTTTCTTTTCACCCTGCTTCATTCTTTTAGTGTTATATGCCTTCCGGTAATGCCAAAAAGATTTTTCCTTTAGCTTATTTTTTAAGACTATGCTAATAAAGAGAGACCCCAATGTGATAAAGTTTAGCTGAAAATTATTAAATAATGTCCAAAACCCATGCAATCTGCTAGAAAAATTTATAAAAAGGCAAATCAAAATTTTATTGCGAATATACTTAAATAATATTTTGATTTTATTTAAGTAAAAAATAAATAAATATTTTGAGAGATTTATTTATTGTTATTTGAGAATTAAATTTGATAGAATTAGTGTATAAATTAAATTCTTAAAAAATATAGGATAAGTGTGATCAAAATACTATCAATATTATATAAATTGTTAGTTTTTGAACATAACTAGTATGTCGGATATTAATTTAAAATACTAATTTTCAGCTATTTTACTGCAATTTTTCTCCTCTATCGAGTTATTTTTAATTAAATTTTTTAAATTTTATTTTTCTTAATTTATTGAGATATCGTTGATTTTGCTCCTTTCAATCTGTTTTCGATTTTGGAATAATTTACATATGAATTGTTGACTTAATCTTCTCAAATTAATTTCGTCACACCTTTTAATGCTCTACTAAAAAATATAAAAGCCTTTTTTCCTCTTATTTTTCACTTTTCTTTTTCAAAATTTTCTAAAAAGAATTTTAAATTTAAAGTCTTTTTCTTTCTCACAATTTCTCCCTGCCGAAGATTCTCTCCTTTTCATAATTTTTAAAAACAAAATTTTTATAGTTGATGTAATGCGCATGGACGACCGATTATTTTCAGCCTTTTGCCAATAAAAGAAAAAAATTTTCTTCTTTCTCGTAATTCCACCTTTTATGCTTGTTTTTTTCTTTAATACCTTAAAATATCACCCTTTACTAATTTTATGTTTTAACGTTTTTCCATGGAAACGCAGAAAAGTTTCTATATTTCTCAATAAAATGGGTAATTCATTAATGTTTTTTATCCATTTTTGTTTTATTTTGTGTTTTATTTGTCTATTAATCAAGTTTTAACGGTCCATCTAATCCTGGTTTGAATGGACATTTTCGGATTTCCCTTCGCATTAGGGGGTAGTGTGAAGGGTCAATCATTTAACTTGGATTCCTCTTTATGTTTAAGCTTAACTTTGCAGAAATATTGGATCGCAATTTTCCTACTGGAAAATTGTCATCCTGGGATGGATGCTGAGGAATCCAGGTACATAATGAGGAATCTAAGTTAAAAGATTGACCTCAGGAGTACATTCTATAACGTCAATACATCAATTTTCGAACCCAACCTCTTTCAATAAAATTAGAATTTTCCTACAATTAATCTCCTTATAGGGATTGTCGGTTCTGAGCCAAATAGAGTATAACTCGAGAGGTAAGGATATCCGACATGTATGGTTCTGATATTCTGTTCTGGATATCCTAAAATTTTCCAAGGACTGACAACTAATAGTCCTTAATATTCTCTATTTTTATAATATTTCCCACTACCATATAAATCCCCCCCCCTTCCCATTCCTTTCTTTTATTTTCCTCTGTTAGATTTAATGTATATTGTGTAAAAACGGCTTGTTTTCAAAGAAAAAATTTTCAAATAGTCTCAGATATTATTTATTATGTTTAAGTGGACCAAATGGAATGGAAATTGTTGGGTTCTTTTTTAAAGTAAAAATCTTTTAAGAAATTGGCACCTTGTATTTTTAATAAAAAATAAGTAAAAAATACTTAAAACTTGCCTTAAAAATGTTTTTAACATTCTTTTGCTTTTCGGCAAAAGTTCTAGGCCCATAAAGGACATTTTTTTCACCTAACAATTTGCATTTTTTGTTGTAAGAAGAGGAGAAAAAAGGTTTCAAGTAAAATAATAAAAAAATTATTCCCATGGAGATAGAAATGAATACCTGGAGACATCCAAAAATGAGTTAAATAGGCAAAAATACATATATGAAAAAATAAAAAATGACACAGACAAGGGTGTTTCTAAATTTTATAACTCAAGAATGGATAAAGATTTTAAGATGATTTTGGTATCATTTGATAGAGGAGAGTCTATCTACAATTTTAAAAATTAATTGTTAAAAATAAATTTATGTTAAGGCCAAAGAAACTCATTTTCCGTTCAAAATAATTGTCTCATTTTCCGTTATACACAGTTTTTTTATCATAACTTTTTTCAGAATTAATTTAAAATTCTCAATTAAATATTATTTTGTAGCAAATTTAATTCTCTATCGAATGATGCCAAAATTAATTTTAAAATATTTTTTCCAGACGAGTTATTCAATTTAGCATTCAACCAGTCCTTCACTCCAACTGACCCACCTCCTTAAACAAAAGACGACATCCTCTAATATTTAAATAATTATTACCTCAAAAACAATCCCCGGAGGATACAAATCCCCGTAGGATTAAAGCCTGTCAATCGATTGACAGGTTTTATAAAAATTTGCCGAGAAAGGGGAAATATTGAGGAAAATAATCGGCAGCCGTTTCTGTATTAATAATATTTGTCACCCCTTTTTCACACATTAAATATTCTGTCCAAAGCTTTCCCACGCTGCTAGAGCTTTAATTGAAAGCACCAGCTACCCCCAACTTTCGATTAAGCAAATGGACGAATAAATGGAATCCATAAGCGCGCAATCCTTGGTTTTTTTTTCTGAGGAAAAAACCAAAACCATTTTCAATTCTATATTATATAGAAAAAATTTTTTATAAAATTGGATAATATATTTTCCAATACGAAAATAAATTATTATAGAAGAAGCAAAATTTTTTTAATTTTGTAGGATAAGGTTTATTCGTTCAAGAAATAATCTTTTGTATTTATCTATACATAGTATCTTTTGAACTTTAAAAATCTATCTATACATTTTCTAAACTAAAATCTGTTTATATAAGAGACCGGACTGGGATTATCGTCGAGAATTTAGCTCTCGATAAATGCTCGATCTAGATAACCTAGATTTTCGATCGAGATTTCGTCACTTCCGGTCTCTAGTTTGTTGAAATTTTGGGAATTTAGTCTAAAATTCATTAAAAAATTCATACAAAATTTTTTTATTTCATGAAAATTTAATTTTTATTAATTACACGGTAATAAATTTAATTCAACAAAATTTAACTTTTAGCCAAAATGAGAATCTATTTTGACATTTTTTGATATTTTTTTAACTAACTTATTTTAGTCTGTTAACAGACTGACTAAAATAATATCTAAAAATATTGGAAAATATCAAAACTAATAATATTTTATTTAATGTGATTTTTAATTAAATATTAAACTTTTCATAAAATAAAAAAATTTTTTGCAATATTTTTACAACAACTTTAAACTCTTTATTTTAAACAAAATAATTCATTTTTTGCCCTCTTAAATTATTAAAACATGTTTTACCAAAAATATTTTGATTGATTGTTAGCTTAGGGTTATGATCGATGAGTAGACTAATCCCTGGTCATAATATTTTTATTTTTATCCGCTTGATTTTTTGGCTTATTATTGCTATTAATAATTATTTCATAAAAGTTTCTCCAATAATAAATTAGTCTGTTGACAGAAAACAAATTTAATCTCTGAAAACTATCTTATTCCTCTTTTATTACATGATCCAAACCGAACTGTGTTTCAGTTCCAAAACGAGTCCAAGTTGACAACAGAGGTGGGTAGGGACAGTCAGAGGTGTCGGAAATTGGAAGAGCCGGAAATCGGAACTGCCTCAAAAGTCGGAACTCGGAACTCAATTTGGAAATAGAAAAACGCTGAAAATCGGAATTCCGATCCACTCTTGTTGACAACCATATTCAGCTTTTGCGGCTATAATTTCATAACTAATTTTTATATGAATGTGTCTATTACATTTCTTATCTAATTTCACCCTAATTAATGTATAAATTGTTTTAAAGTGAAAATTATTTTCAATTTTTTTTATTTTTTTCCTATTTCAAATTTTAAATTCAATTTATTTTTAAATTTCTTTTTGATTCTAGTTTATTAATTATTGCCTTCTCAACAAAAATTAAACAAAATTTTATTATTTTTGATTTTTCTTCTTTTATTCAAAAAATTATTTATTTATGTTTAAACATCGATGAGTGTGCTGATCCTGAGCCTATCAGATTTGGAAAGGAGCATGAAGAACGGGTAAGAAGTGATGAGGGGAGGGGGGATAATCATTTAATTAATTCTTTAAAACTTATAAATGTTTTTAAAAAATTTGAAAATTTGGCAAAATGACTATAGTTATCAATTATGTTAACAAAATATAAGGTCCTATTAAGACAGCCATGTCTTATCCTGCACTTATCAGATTTTGAAATGCGCATTATGAAAGGGAAAAACTTAGGGGAGGGGGTATAATAAATTTCCAAATATTAGAAAAATAAATAAAAAGGACAGATTTAAGAAGGGGAGGGGGTGCACTTTCTGCCGGGAGTTTGTGCGGCCAGTAGTCGAAGAAATAAATTTATTTTTTATTAACGTCGCAGTCGAAAATTTTTCACCTAAGTTGTCTGAAATTCATTAATAATTAAATTTAGTGTGTCTCTGGCTTCCGTTTTAATCCACAAAATTTTCTTTTTATTTTTAAATAAAACAAGTAAAGGCTAAAATAATTTAATGAAGAATTAAAGAAATATTTTAATGTTAAAAAAATATGATAGAGTCTTTTAATACATACTTCTTTTAAAAAATCCATGTTATCCTCAAAAATTCGGATCATCCCAAAAATTTGAATCTTCAAAAAAACTCAAATCGGGCAAATTTTCCAGATCCTCTTTTTGAATAGGATTGCTTTCCATTTGTAATTTTTCTCGTTTAGAAGTGTCATAAATTGTGTCATCTAAATTATTCGAATAATCGTTACTCTGTAAATTAACAGATGAAATTCCCTCCTCATTAAGAGTTGATTGGGAAAGTTTATCTTTTTGTGGGTGAATAATTCTTTGAGATAATTGAACGTTCTCTTTGGAAACTGTCAGCTCTTTTCCTTTATTTTCAGTAGCATTATTCTGTGGATTACTTAATGAAGTTCCTTCATTATTAACAGATTGAATGTTTAGGACTTTTGAACTGTTAATTTGTTGCATTTGTTTTTCCTTTTTCTTTCTTAAATAGTTGTTTCTTGAAGTTTCTCGCATCCTTTCGATATTAAGCTGATAATATTTTTGAGTATATTTTCTTATTTTTTCTTTATTATTTTGTTGATATTTTTTCACAAGTTTACGACATTTTTCCTTATTCTTTTGATAATAGCCTCTCCTATCTTCTGATAATCTCGCTTTATTCTCCTGGTAGTATTCTCTATCATATTTTTGTCTCTTCAATTTTTCTTCGTCATTTCTAGTAGGTTCCATTTTTGTAACTTTAGGTTTTGGTTTCAACGTTGCTTGATATTTTTGAATTTGAGGATTAACCGATGATTCAGGCTCATCATTTATTTTATTTAAATCTGTTGAGGTTTCCTCAACTATTGTTAACTCGTTTTGATTTTTATTATTTTTAACAGAATTAATTAAACTCCATAATATCGTATTGAAAATTAAAAAGATTAAAACATTAAGAAATTTCATTCTAAATTAATTTTTAAAATTGAATTAATATATATTAATGAAATAATTTATAACTTTTATTTAATATTTTTTCATATTATAAGAAAAGTGCATTGCGAAAATTTTTTATTTTTGTTTGTCTAATATTTTTGTTGTTACGAAATTTCTAAGGGCAATTTGACAGTCTGATGTTTATAAATTATATCTAAAAGTGCATTTCGATAGATACTGTTTTTGATTTTGAGGCGAGAACTTGTCTTGACTACAAGACTTGCCTCCCGACATTTTTAGATAAGTCAGAAACATGAATATTGCTCATACGATTTTCAGTAAAGCTTGTTGTTTCATTGAAATTTCTATAGATAGTTAATTTGTGCCAACCAGGGGCTGGCACAAGAGACAATTTCAAATAACGCAAAGCCAAAATGTAACGCAAATATCGCAATGCGCCTATCCCGACGTTTGCGCGTTTACTCTTATTTCTTAATAATAAATTTGCAAAAATTTTATAAATTTAATATTGTGTATATTTCAAGTTATATTCAAATATTAAATTCTAATATATTTTTTAATATCTTCAAATTTTTTAAAATTATTTTTTTTTCATTTCAAATTTTCTATTTTAAAGTTTTATTCCAAACACCTCTTTTCTCTTTTTTTCTCACTCTTTTCTCAGTTTCCCATGGGGAATCAATGTTATGCATTTCCAAAAACATACCCCAACAAATTAAATTAGCAGCTAAGAGCTCTCTCATCATTTTCAAATTATTTGGGAGTTTCTTTCTCCAAACGAGACGTTTTGTTCCACACCCTGTTTGGCATAACTTTAAAGCCTTTTCTTCTTTTCTCGTTTTCATTTCTCCCAAAATCCCCTTTTTTGCTTATGGCAAAAGCTTTAAATAGCCTATTTTTCCATTCAATCCCCCTCCAAGAACACTCTTCTAATCACTCCCAAAGATTTACGAGGGAGGCGGCTATTCCAAATTCTCTCAGTCATCACCATCCTGGCGGTATTTATGCTGTACAGAACCCAGCTAAATTAGATTTGGATGTTAGTTTTAGAGAATTGATCAGGTAGCTTTATTAAATTGGGACAATAAACTGTGACAATTAAGTAGAGTGACCTGTTCCCGAACGATTTTTTTCACGATTCTCCCCGATCCGAACCCCGCCCGAAAAAAGTGAAAACCCCGTTCCCCGAGATACCCGCCCCCGAGCGTTCGGGGTCAAACCCTACAATTAAGAATACAAAAATAAATTTGAAATATAGATTTCAAGACAATAAAAATAATTTAATTTAACTCTTTATTTCTTTAATTTCTTAAGAAATATTTATTATTGATGCACTTTACTTTCATTGAATTATTTATTTGTTTGTCAAATCATATTTTTAAAGTGCTTGAATATTTCTTAATTTGTCTGACAAAGGGTATGTAATAAATAAAATACCCTTTGCGGCATTAGATAAAATTCTCAGTGCATCATGCGAATGAAAACGCGAAAAAAGAATTTCAAAATTATTTTTTAAATAATTACATAATATAAGAAATTCTATTATTATATTAGTTTAACAAAATTATAAATACAATTAAATTTTAAATAAATTTTTTTAATTAATTTAAAATGAAATTTATTAATGTTTTATTCTTTTTAATTTTCAATTCGATATTATGGAGTTTAATTAATTCTGTTAAAAATAATAAAAATCAAAACGAATTGAATAGAGTTGAGGAAACCTCAACAGATTTAAATGAAATATTAAATAATGGGGTTGAATCATCGGTTGCTCCTCAGAATCAAAATTATAAAGACATATTAAAACCAAAAATTACTAAAATGTACACGAATGACAATAAGTTGGCAGAAAAAAAGATAAAGAAAAAAGAAGATAACCAAAATTATGGACAAAATAATAAAGAAAAACTAAAAGAAAGGAGAAATTCTACCAATTATAAACCACGTAAAAAAGAATATGATCGGAACTACTACTATAAGAATAAAGAAAAGAAACTAGAATATAGCAGATTATACCACCAAAATAATAAAGAAAAGAAGAGAGAATATATTCGAAAATATCGAGAAAAAAAGAAAAATGAGAAGGAAGATTTAAAAAATGAAATTTCAAAATTAAGAAATATTCAATCGGAAATTAATGAAGGAACTTCTTTTGTTCTTCCACAGAATAATGATTCGCCAAAAGCCTTAGATAATTTAGCTAAAATATTAAATGATGGGGCTGAATCAATTGCTGCTCATAGTCAAAAATATAAAGAAAAGTTAAAGACAAATATTAAAATTGAAACTACAGATGATCAACCAGAAAAAAAGTTAAGAAAAAAAAAATATTATAAAACTTACTATCAAAAAAATAAGGAAAAGATATGTGAAGATAGACGAAATTACAACCGTCGTATGAAAGAAAATTTAGAAAATTTACGGAAAAATAAACAAGAAATTCTGCAAAATATTAATTCAGAATTAATAAATATTCAATCTAATGAAGGAAATTTATTACCTAAAAATACTGAGTGTGAAAATAACGAAATGGAACCGATTGTTTCTAAAGAGAATATCCATTTAGAAAAAGGAGAAGATAATCCTATTCAACCTTCACATAATGTGGAAGGAAATGATAATGTTGAAGGAACTTTATTTGTTAATCCACAGACTGATGATTGTGTAAATAATCTATCTGAGCAACCAAATAGTCAATCAGCTGCTGACCTTCATACTCAACAAATGAATGATCATGATGATTTAGTTGATCTGAGTTTATTGGATGATTCGGATTTTTTGGACTATTTAAATTCTATTCTTAATTCCTGAACACATTTCAGATAAACAAGTGGATGAATTTTAAAAAGAAAACACAAAAAATATATCTTTCCTTTCTCTGGATTTATTTTTTCTGGGCTACAAATTGATGTCCAAATATTTTTTCATATTTATTTTTCTTAATTTAATTTTCCTTAATTTTCTAATTAAAATTGCTCGAAAGATAAGAAAAAGAATTTTGGTAATTCTGAAGCTGGTCACTTTTTTCATTACTTTTTCCTTCCTTAAGTTTGTACAAAAGTTCAGATTTCTTTTGTTTCTATAGCATATTCAAACAAGAAAGAAGCTAATGTATTAATAAATAAATATAAATCATTATAATAATTCATTATCTAGGATAATGACGTATTCTTTTTGAAAATTTTATCTCGTCTTCTATTATTATAAATCCTTTTATAATCCTCTATCGAAACTTTTATTTCATATTATTTTTATTGCCCTTTAATATCAAAGTTTAAAAACTTTTTCTTTCAATATTTCAATACATTCTATTTTCATTTTTTTTGTTGTTTTCCAATTCATTTGAGTGTGGGGGATGTCCTCAGCTAGAAAGGAGGCAATTTACTAGTTAATCCATCATAGCAGCTTAACTAACGATCAAATTTATATTTTACATCAGGTTATGAAAAATAGGATCAAAATAAATATTAAAAAGAAGCTGACGTTGAAAATAAAAAGTGGATTAAACCGAAAATAAAGCATGTCTTTGAGTGATTTTAGCTGTTTGACATTATATCCCGTAAATAATAAACATAATATTTTTAATTATTTTTTTTTTTAAATTTGGCAGTAAAATGGAGTTTAAAGAAATTTTTTAAATCTAAATTTTAAATGAACAGTTTAGGGTTAAAAATGAGTGGCTGAGAGGTTTAGGTAATGCCTAACATAGGTAAGCTTTTAATCACATAACTTTTGTTTGAAATGATCGATCGAGCTTTGCATGGTATCATTCGAAAGAAAATTAAATTTGCTACAAGAAGGGTAAATAACTTAATTTTATTTTAGTTAAGAAAAAGTTATCAGGAAAAAAAGAATTGATATAATTGATATAAGTTTTCTTTCCAAACGAATGATACCATAAAATTATAAAATTCCTTATTTTTAGTCATAAATATATATATCTATTTTAATGCCAATATCTCCCTTTATATTCCTTTCTCCCATGCTTTTATTTTTTTAAATTATACATAGGCGACTTTCGAAGCGGATATATTTAATTGCCCATTTATTTTTCTCCACAAATTTTTATGGCACACTAATTAGTATCTATTAGTGTATGTATTTAATTACAAAATAGCATTTACTGCTCTAATTGGATATACTTTAGCCGGTGGCCCACTCAGAAACGGGTCAAAATATATACCATTCGATTCATCTCGGCGAGCTGAGTCGAATGGTACCATTCTTTTTTTTTGCGGAAATTCCTACGAGCCGAGATACAAAGTTACAACACAAAATACTAGCAACATAAACCTATGGAGCATCGGCGAGGCGCTTGTGCAAAACTCCGCGCTTCGCGCGGAGTTTTGCGGCACGCGCCTCGCGGGGAGTCTACGGGCGCTGGGTCTGGGCTTGTAACATAACCCTATTCCTATCTCCCTTGCTCTGGACGTATTTGGGGCCTCCGTAGCAGCAAAAATCTCCACAGATGGCATAGGTAAGGAGCTAAAACAAATGCTCATAACTTTGTCAAATCAAGTCGGATTTCGTTGATTTTGGTGTCAATCGACTCAGCTCGACGAGCTCTTTCGAATGAGCTATTATTTCATATTCGAATTTTTCACCCCAAAAAAGTGCTTGGTCCCCCCTATTGTTTTTCGATTTTTAAGTACCTATATCTCGGCTCGTAGGAATTTCCGCAAAAAAAGAATGGTTCCATTCGACTCAGCTCGCCGAGACGAATCGAAAGGTATATATTTTGACCCGTTTCTGAGTGGGCCACCGGCTAAAGTACAGCCCTCTAATTATTTAAGAATTATAGTTTGAATTTTATTGTGAAGAATTAGCTAGCCAAATCGATTGTGTAAATCCGTCCGATATATCTCTAAGTTAAACTAAAAAACAAATTAATATATACAAGCAAATTACTTAATCTTATCCTTAATCAATTTACAATTTTTATAATTGAAGACATAAATATTTATTGCGTTGTCAGATAAATAATGACACCTGTGTAGGCCCATATCTCCATTTCGTATTTTTTGGGTGGCAAAAAAATGCCTTCAAGGTGGCATTTTTTTGCTTGAGTTATACTTAGACCGCGTTTGAAGCAATACAAAATAAACAGTCCGAATTTTAGATTTTGAGGTCATAATTTAAAAATTTTTTTTAAAAAACTGCAAAAATCAAAATTAATTTTTTAAATGGTTTTGAATAATAGAAAAAAGCGTGAACTATCGACTCTAGTAAATGTAATACCTATACATGAAAAAAGACTAGAAATTCGCAAAGGGCTCATGATTTATCTGACAACCCATAATATTATTTTTTTAGACAATTTTTTAATTTACTCGGGTTGAGAGAGTATATGGAATGAGTTTGAAAATTTTTGTTTCTTTCTTCATTTACAGTTACTGACACAGACAATCCGAAAACATTCACTTTACTTTCCAACATATCCTTATTAAATCTGCATATTTTCAAGTAAATTATATTCCCTCGGTGAATATACCGTAAATGCTCGAACAATTACCCTCTTTAATAATTACCCCCTCCTTTTCCTTATCTATTTTTAAAACTATTGAAAAAATCATTGCCAATTTTAATTATTGAAGCATTTTAAGAATCAATGTCAAAAAATAAATAGATTTCCTCCTCGATTTATTGAGATATACCCAAAATTTAACACATTCTCTTGATTAATTACCCCTTCCAGCGAGAGGTCGAAACAATAATTACCTAGGGTAATTATCGAGCATATACGGTATCTAAAATTATAATTCCACCATATCAAGATCAGAGGTTGTTCGGAATTCCGATTTGCGACTTTTGAGCCATTCTCGATTTTAAAAGTTCCGATTTCCGGAACCTCTGCAGTTCCGACATATCCTATCAAGATATCATTTTATTTAAAAAAGATGCACTTTTATTTAAATTGTTTTTAATAGTTTTAATAAATTATTTCAAAAAATTATTTGTAATATTGCACTTTTTATTAAATATATATTAATTTTAAAATATAAAAAGGTCTGTTTAAAGTTATTTTCCTGTTATTAATTAAGAAATAATTCTGACTATAGCTATATATCTACTGTTCATAACTAGGGTCCGGATTTTTATTGAAATAAAATCGCAATATATGGCCATAAAATATTGAAATAAATGGGCAAAATATTGTCAAAAAAGGCCAAAAAATTGTGAAATATTGAAATAAATTATTGTTTATTTAGTGGCAAAACTCAAAAAAAAAGTTAAAATTTAATAAAAAAATATTAATCACGCTTCTAAAATTGCACATTAGCTTTATAGTTCGACAAATTGAGTATTTTTACTCTCATAGACATTTTGAGATTGTCGAAATGAGCTGGAACATGTTGTGGGAATTGCTCAATGTGCCATTTGGGGGGGGGGGGGGGGTGTCCAGTGGGGCATTTTGAGGGCGGAACATCTTGGGATGGGCCTGTATGGGGTTTTTGTTCACTTACACATTTTGAGGTTTTGTTAATTGTGAAATTGTGTGAAGCGATTTTTCAATAAGGTCTGAGCGATATTCTAGGGATAATTAGTGGGAAGGCAACAGCACTGTAGTGAATAGTAGGCCATAATATCCCCTTCTCTGCGTCGCAGGCGAAAATTTTGAGAATTTTCGTTGTCAAGAGGCTAGATTTCTTCTTTTTTTCCCTAAAATTTATGAAAAATTCCAAAATTTTGGTAAAAATATGCAAAAATATTGAAATAATTTGCAAAAAGTGCAAAATATTGAAATAACGGGAAAATTGGCAAAATATTGAAATATATTGAAATACAACTTTGTTCAGAATCATAATATCGAAAAACTAATAGCATATTTGGGCTCCTCTCGACAAAGTATGTTTGCAAAAAAAAGATTTATTTCAATAAAAATCCGGACCCTATTCATAACATAACGCAATATATGCGTCTCATCACAACAAATAAGCTATTTCATAATTTAATATTTTTCTTTAAATTGGTGTGAATTCATTTTAAATTAAATTTATTATTTTTGATAAATCAAAAAAATTAATTTTAAATTCAAATTTAATTTAGAATGAAACCTGTTAATATTTTATTCTTTTTAATTTTCAATTCGATATTGTGGAGTTTAATTAATTCTGTTAAAAATAATAAAAATCAAAACAAATTAACTAGAGTCGAGGAAACCTCAAATGATTCAAATAAAATATTAAATGATGGGGCTGAATCATCGGTTGCTCCCCAAATTGAAAAATATAAAGAAACGTTAAAACCAAAAATAATAAAAAATGAAAAGGCTTCAAATAATAAAGAAGGAAAAAGTCGGGATAGGAAAGGATATCAAAAAGATTATTATCAGAAGAATAAAGAAAGAATTCTTCAAAATAGGCGTGATCATTATAAAAAGATTAAAAAAAGTCACGAGGAAGATAAGAAAGAAAAAAAGAGAGAATATAATCGTGAATATAAAAGAAAATGCCGACTAAGAAAGAAGATGGAAAAAGAAATGTCAAAGAATGATATTTCACAATTAACAAGCATTCAATCTGATAATAATGAAGGAACTTCTTTTGTTAATCCACAGAATAATGCTACTGAAAATAAAGGAAAGGAGCCAATTGTTTCCAAAGAGGACGTTCAATTATCTCAAGGAAATATTCATCTACAAGATGATACTCCTTCTCAATCTGCTCATAGAGAGGAAGGAAATTTATTTAATTCACAAAATGATTGCGAAATCAATTCTGAGAATCCAATTTATTGCCCTTATAAACAGGAAAAGGTTAATCACCATGAAAATGTTAACCAACAAGCTACCGATCTGGATGATTTGGATTATCTGAATTTATTAGACGATCAGGAATTTCTGGATTATCTAAATAAGCACTTCGGATAAAGAATTGGATAATAATTTTTATTTTGATGGACTGAAAAATATCCTTCCGTTCTCTGACTTTATTTTTATTAAAATTTTTTTTCTTAAATTTTTTTAATGGAAAAATAAAAAAAATCCCCTCGATAATAAATTAAATGTACAATACAAATTTGATAATAATAAATGTACATACAATACAATATTTGTTTATTTTGATCCAAATACTGAAAACTTTTGGAAATTGAACTTGAAAATACTTATCAAAATTTAGGTCAATGTTCAGATTGTACTAACTTTAGAACCACGATCATCACTTTCATGGGGCTCATGTCAATTTGTGTAAATATTTCTTTATTCATGCCACAGAAAAGTCGAATAATAATCATAACTCCCTCTTAATATTTCAAGTTTAAGCCTAACGTCGACTTATTTTAAGTTAAACAGATTCCCTTATTTTTCCCCTCCATAATAAATTAACATTTAATTATTATTGACATTAAATGAAAATTATTTACAGCCACCTTCTTTCAAAATAAACATAAATTAATTTATTTTTGTTTGTTTCCATATTTTATTTAAATAAATACTTTTATTTATTCTTTTCTCATTTTATTTTCCAAACGACTTTTCCATGCAATAAAGCAATCATCAGATTTACCCCTTCCCTTTCTCTCTATTTTATTTTTATCAAATTTTGAGTTCATTAGCTTTGTGTCCCCCTTTCTTTTGTGCCATATTTTCACCCCTTCGAGGCATTCATTCACTCATTCTTTTGCCTGACCCCAAGGCGCGCATCAACGGTTTGGCTAGCTAAAGAAGGTGTGTGGCGGTGGGAAGGGTTTAACAAACGGCACAAACTGAAAGGCAGCTGTCCCCTGGTAAAGAGAATTAAAGGCGGTCGATTCCAGTCAAAAACAATAACAGACGTTGCTTTAGGCACTTATTTGCTTGCCGGCACCCCCATATAAACCCCTATTTATAAACACCCAATTCATCGAAACTAAATGATAGTACTTTACGCCAACTCTTATATCTTTTGTACGGTTGAACCATTTGAAATTATTTTTATAGGTTCTTGTAGAGAATTAAATTCTCTACAAAATAAGATTCTATTCAAATTTTTTGGTAATTCCAATATAAAGTTAGTGACGATAAACTGGCAAAAATGGCGATTTTTGTTCAAAATTGTCTGTTTTTTGACCATAACTTTACTTAAAATTGACATAAAATTTAGTTCTAAATTTTATTTTATAGCAAATTTAATTCACTATCGAATGGTATCAAAATTATTTAAAAATATTTTTCCATTCAAAAGTTATGAAATTTTGAGTTCTCTAAGGTACTCACTAAGCTGCCCCCTTTTATATTCTTTTCCTCTTTTTTCCACCCTCCTTTTCCATTAAACCAATGCTTTTCTCTTCTCATTATTAGCCATTTAGCAATTATTTTTCCTTCTTAACCTCATAATAAATCCCTCTAGACTCGTCTTTTATTTTTCACACCGCCTCGGAATTCGGCGGTGCCAGATACTCAAATGACCCGAGAACACATAAGCAACAGTTTAGCTTCCGCTAAGCTTCCAAATGGAGCAGCTGACGACCCATTTTTAACGGAATTTATGGACTATTACATTGTGCGCAAGAGGTTGAGGCTTTAAAACAATTTTTCTCATTCTTTTATTATCTACCTTACACTTTCTTTTACTTTTAATAGTTTAAAAAAATGTTTAAAAATAAATTAAAAAATATAAAAAATAAAAATAATAAAATAAAAATATTTAAATTAATTATTTAAAATATTATTTTATTAAAATTATTTCAGTGAATCCTACAAATTCATACGAATGGCCGAAGATCTCCATGGTCAGTTTATTTATGTATTTAATTACAGTATACTTTATTTCTCTCATAAACTGATAATTAGAGACCGGTCTGTACTGTATTACGACAGTATTTTATGTATTTCAGTACGGAATACACTTTACTAGGAAATTCCGGACTCTACTGATAATCATACCAATGGTCTACCGACAAGATTCACGAAAATCGGGAACTCCCGACGTTCTATGGATCAGGAGCAGTGATGCGGGGGTTCCGGTTCCGGTTCCGGAACCGGTGCGGTTCCGGTTCCGGAAGTGGAACCGTGGAACCGGTAAAAGTCCGGAACCGGTTTGGAACCGGAACCGTGGAACCGGTAAAGGCCCGGAACCGGTTTGGAACCGGAACCGTGGAACCGGTAAAGGTCCGGAACCGGTTTAGAACCGGTTCCAGAACCGGTTCCAAAGATACACCCCTAATGATGGCCAAAAGAAGAAAAAGTGAGCGAAAGTGGAAGGTGTAAGAGGAAAAGGAAGGGAAAATTGAGACGAGTGAATAAGATTATCTTTATTTTTCATTCAAAAGATGTGTGGTTGAATGGATGGTGTGTTGGGTTCATAGTTTTGAGGAATTATCATTGTATTAGGTTCGAACCGAACTTAATGAATGACAAAGTAATTGTTTTTCCACAGGAAATAAATTATTATGCGCGCCTGATGCGCAAATAAGGAAGATTTTTGGCTTAAGGATCTTCCAAAATTCTCAAAATTTTCGCCTGCGGCGCAGAAAATGAAGATTTTTGGCTTAAGGATCTTCCAAAATTCTCAAAATTTTCGCCTGCGGCGCAGAAAAGGGAAGAAAAATTACGAATTACGAATTACGATTACGAAAATTTTTTTAAAATTACGAATTACGAATTACGATTACGAAAAAAAAATTTCAATTACGACGCAACCCTGGTTTAAACCTCGTTTTCCGTTTAATTGTTGTTGTTCAATTGCGTCCACCCTGACCCGGATCCTAAACTTTCGAGTCACCCCAAAAAGTGTTTGGTCCCTTTTTCGATTTTCTGAGGCCTATATCTCTGCGAGTTTTCGTCTCCCGCAAGAAATTCTTGCATATTTGAACTCAGCTCGAAGAGACGAATTGAATGATATATACTTCGAGTTTGGATCTCAGTGGACCTATACTAAGTTAAAGCCAAAATTTTTTGGAACCGGAACCGGTTTGGAACCGGTTCCAGAACCGGAACCGGAACCGGGCAAAATTAAAAAAACGGTTCCAGAACCGGAACCGGAACCGCCAAAATTAAAAAAGCGGTTCCGGAACCGGAACCGGGCAAAATTGAAAAAGCGGTTCCAGAACCGGAACCGGAACCGGGCACAATTTGGAATTTCCGCATCACTGATCAGGAGTCGATATCCCTAGGAATTTATTTTATTTATCTTTCCTACATTCCTGATTTATACATACTTTTGCCATTTCTTCTGCTTATCAACAAATATTTTTGGATAATGTTAACGAAGTCGGGATAATGATCAATCGTACCTAACCCACCGTAAATATCCCAATAGAAATCCAGGGCATTTTTTTCACTGGTCCTCACTGAATGGGCTTCTATTAGTCTCGGGTTTCTATAATAATATTTTCGGTAAATAAATTTCAAAATTTTCAGACGTTGCTAGGTATCTCAATGAGATGCGCGTTTGCTTTTTACTGTTAACTGGGACGGTAATTAAATTTTTATAAATAATTTAATAAGCAATTTATAATTAAAAAGGTCTACATTTTACTCGGTATTTATTTTGTCTGTTGGTGTATTCGTAGAAATAGAAGGCGTGTTAGTAACCCTGCGAATAATTCTTCTGGAAGGCGTTTGCCTAATCATAGATGGGGGGATTTACAGGTAAACATTTTGAAAAGAAATTTTATTGAAAGGGAAAAGTAAAAATTCAACTTATCATTTGATTACCCCGTTTGTCATGAAAATTAATAAAAAGAGAGAAATGAGTCCTTTTGAGGACGTGTCCAAAATATCGTTACAAAATTCATTTAAATCAACGAAACCACGGAATACATGCACTCCCGGTCAAAAGTAGATATAGGACAAAACACATGAAAATTTTAGGAATTAGAAACTTCCTTTCAAAAATATCAGATGTAGAATTTTATGACAATAAAGTCAAATTTATAAAAATTTATAAATAGGCGAATAAATCCATTTTTTAATATTATGTAATTTGTAGTTTTTATTCCCTATTATTCTCCTCTCTTATCCGTTAGATACATATTGACGTTAAAAAATATTTGGAATAATTAAGGGCAATTAAAAGTTTAAGAAAAAAATTAACCGTGGTCTTAAATGTACCTTATCCAAAATTTTAAATTATATATTTTACTCCAGGGTGCCGAATATGAAAACGCCATTACAGCTCAAACAACAAACATTGGCCAAACAGCCTCAGACGATTTGGTTTCTTTTAGAAGCGATGGTGCAGTGCCTGGGGGGAAAGCAAATTTAAGTTCACAATTTGGAGGGACTGGACAACAACACGGGTTGGGCTCTGGAAGTGGACCTCCACCCTTTGGAATGCCCGGAAGGGGAACAGCAAATAGACAAGCAGCACCTTCTTTTATGCGGCATGGGGGAAGTGGAGTTGGAATAGGCTCTATGCCTAATCATAGGTTGGGATTGAGAAAAATATCGACAAAATTGGGAATTTGCGGGGGAAATGTCTTAATAAATGATAATTTTGTGAAACCTAAACACGGGTTGGGGACTCTAGTAATCGCTAGAAATACTTGATAATAATTAACTCTCGTTATAGTTACACCTGATAAATGTGCAGATATCTTTTACTAAAAATAAGAGCCCGAATTCTTTGTTAGATTTTAAGTTCATTCGATTTAATCTATGATTTTTTAAGTTTTAATTTCTTAGGTAAAATTCATCTTTATGAAATCAAAGACAATACCGTATATAGTCAAATAATTACCCTGATTAATAATTGTTTAGCCATTGATCGATGGAATAACAGAAAGAGGGAAATTAAGTGAGAGGTTAATATTTAAGCATATAGAGGTCGATCAGAATATAGAGTTAGATCGGAATTCGATCGGAAGGGGTTGATCTGACTTCCAATTTCCTAAAATTTAGGCTGATTTCCAAGTTCCGACTTTTGAGCCATCTCCTATAGTTCCGATTTCCGGCTCCTTCATCATTTTCAATCGACCTCTGATTTAGAGCCAGTCGGTGAATTTATAACGAGAGTTATCTATTCAAATTAAAAATTTCTGTCTAGGAAAATACATCTATGAAATCTTTCGGAAACAAATCATTTTTGACAAAATTAAACTGCTGTTAGTAAAATACCCCAAAATGAAAAAATACGAAAACTAAAAAACCTAAAGGCGATTGTAGTGGCTCAACTGCATGTCCTGCCTCATCCTCACTTCTCAGCGGAAGCAGTGCTGCCGCTACCAGATTGATGGCAGATTCCGATACTGGTACAGTCACAAAACAGCAGCCCTCCCCAATTCAGCATCAACACTTGACACATCAACAAACACAGCAACAACAACACGGCATACCAACCTCAATACATCATTCTCCTCATTCCCCACATCATCACGACCAACAAATTCTAATTCAACACCAACAGACTTCCCAGCATGGAAGTACTGGCAGACCCCCTCCCTCAGGCTTTTTGCTTAATAATATTGCTGAGGAAAGAGAAGGGAGTAGCAACAGCGGCGCTTCTTCGGCGACTGGAGGGAGTGGAGGAGTGACTACTACAAGTGCAACAACTACACCTATGTCGACCTTTGGATGGAGAACGAAAGAAAAAGTTATGTTGGAAAGGCACGAGCTTCAACCAATGAATAATAATGGTACTAATGGTGAAGTATGAAAATATATATCGTTTGATTTTTGTATTTATCCATTATAACACTTTAAAAATATTCAAAAGAAATGTTTCAGAAATTCAGAAAAAGTTAATTTTAGAAATTTAGAGAAATATCATCTTATTAGCTTAAGTAAGAGCGAGGTAAAAGTTTGATCCCGGGCAGGCTTCGATCCTGCGACCTCCTGCCAGTTATTGCTAAGCGCTTACCACTGAGCTACCGGTGCTCTACCAACTGAGCTACCGGAACGGTGCTTTCACCTTCTCTTTTAATAGATCTTAAACCCCCGCCTAGTGAGCTTTTTAAATGCTAGGTTAGGGAATCAACCGAATTTCTATTGAATAAATTTTCATTATTGAAAAAATCTGAACCATGATAATTTGAGTATTTTTTCCACATTTTTTATTATTTTTTGGCTAATTCCTTTTTTTCTTAAAATTCTTTTAAATTTCAAAAAAAAATTTTAAAAGAATTTTATTTACTAACAATAACCAAATAAATAACTCATTTTCATTATTTTCGCCCTTTTTCTAATCCCGATGGCAATGTGCCTTTGTTTGATACTCAAACCAAGTAATTGTTGACTTTATCCTCTTTTAGATAATTAATTATTTCCTCAAAAAATGGAGGGAAATTTTAGTAAGAATTTTTAGTATGAACAATTCAAAATATTAGATAGAAGGGCAATTTACCGTTAAGTATTTAATTGTTTCAATACACATTTTATAGTTGATAAACTCGAGAAGTTAAAGGGCAGTGGGAAAACCGAACTAAGATCATGTCAAAACGCTATTTCTCTCCTTTAGCTAATGGTGAAGTCTGAAAAAATATATATCGTTTGATTTTTGTATTTATCAAAGATAACACTTTAGAAAATACTCAAAATACATGTTTCAGAAATTCAAAAAGTTAATTTTAAAATTCAGAAAAATATCAGGTATAAGTTTAATCCCGGGCAGGCTTCGATCCAGCGACCTCCTGGCAGTTATTGCTAGGCGCTTCCGCTCACCACGTAAAGGTGCTCTACTAACTGAGCTACTGGAACGCTGCTTTCATTCTCTTTTAATAGATCTTAAACCCCCGCCTAGTGAGCGTTTTAAATACTTGCCAGACTTTATAAAAGCTAGGTTATGGAATCAACCGAATTTCCTTGTTGAAATTTTCATTTTGAAAAAAATCTGAACCATTATAATTTGAGTATTTTTTCCACATTTCTTATTATTTTTTTTTTGACTAATTCCTTTTTTGTTAAAATTCTTTTAAATTTCAAAATAATTTTTTAAAAGAATTTTATTTACTAATAATAACCAAATAAATAACTCATTTTCATTATTTTCGTCCTTTTTCTAATCCCGATGGCAATGTGCCTTTGTTTGATACTCAAACCGAGTAATTGTTGACTTTATCCTTTTTCAGATAATTAATTATTTCCTAAAATATGGAAGGGAAATTACTAAATTTTTAGTAAGAATAATTCAAAATATTAGAAAGAAGGATATTAGAAGTATTAGAAGAATAACAGCAATCATAGATCAAATCCCAAATTCGGTACAAAAAATTTGCCGGATTCGAATCCGGATTTGGCAATGGAGCCGGACCGGATCCGGCCGGATTTTTCTGAATTAATCCGGTCTGGAAAAAATCCGGAGATCGCGTAAAAAAGCCGGATTTGGTATCCGGACTCCGGAAAAATCCGGCCGCATCCGGTCCGGTGCCGCGTACTAATAGATAAAATATCGGCTTTGGTAATTTATTATGAAACTAATTTTATTTTAAAGGATTTTAGAATTTATCTACATAGTAAAATTAAGCAAAGGGTTAGCGTATTGTAATAAATAGAAATTTGAAGTGATAAAGTCAGCAAGCACTCAAAGTTTAAACTAGAGCTTCGAGAGACTTTTGCCATGCATGAGAATTAAGATTTTACGGTATTCTTTATTTTTATCTTGAGCTTTTGTTAAGCCATGACACCGAAAAATTTTATCTCACAAAGCTCTATTTTATTAGTTGTATTAAAATATAGTCAGACCTCTACTAGTGTAAATACACAATTGGAATTGAAACAAATAAATCTTATAAGGGGTGCTTAATCAATTCGTAGCGATTAGGCAGCCTCTCAAATTTTAGAAATTGTATTTACATTAGATCTGTCAGTCGATGGATATTAAATAGAAGTCCTACTATATATTTCAAAAAATTGCTAGTCAAAATTAATTTCATTTAATCTCTATAATCATTATTCTTTTTTTGTTATCATTTAAAGTTTACTAATAAAATAACGATAAGATTTTTGTTTTTTTAATAAGGCTAACTCTTGCTCACCGAGGCATGTTATCTACCAGCAGGTTTGCTAAATTGACATAGACCTATTGAGGGAGGGGAAGTGTGAAGGGGTTAGTAGGTAATTAACCCGTGGGTAAAGCAGGGGGTACTTTATGGATATGTCACCCCCCTCATGTTTTGAGTCTCAGAGTTTTCCTTATGCGTAGAAAATGGTCAGAGATTATTTTCTTCTCCATGTCAATCATTTTTTTTTTCTTCAAGCAAAATAAGTGAAATGTGGAAACGAAATGAGTGAAATGTAAGGACAAAATTCAAAAATTGTAGAAAAGCAAAATAAAAAGGCAAAATACTTGAAGGAGGAAAAAATGATTGACATGGAGAAGAAAATAATCTCTGACCATTTTCTACGTATAAGGAAAACTGAGACTCAAAATAGGGGGGGTGACATATTCATAAAGTACCATACAGGGTTTGAAACAATTAGTTAAAAATTATAAAAGGGACAGTTTAAATATGAAGAAAACGTGTTGTCGGTAAGGTAATGGGAGGGTGATCCTCTCTAATAAAAGACTAGCAAACTTAAAAATAAATTTCAAATATTTAAAAATAAAAAAATAAAAACTTAAAAAAATAAACTTGAAATAAATAATTATGTTAATTAAATTATGCCAAAATGTAGTAATTAAAGGAAATTCTTTTAAAGAATTTTTTAACTTTAAAGATTTACGAAAACATTTCTTTGATTATAATAAAAAAAAATAGATCACTGAAAAGGAATCAATTTTTTAATGCGTGAATAAAGTGGAGTATCAAATCTAATATGAAGTCTATTTCTAATTTCTTAAAAACGAAGACCATGCCCACACGGCCAATCTGAATCGGCGTTGCGTCATGGTCTAGTGTTTCAAACCTTTATACGCTAAATAGTATCCGCAAAATTTTGCATCATCCCATTCATTTTCCTATTAAAAACAAAACTCACTTCATATCATCTTCGCAAAACCATAATTGTGGAGCACTTGTTTACATATTAAAAACAGAATTTTAACTGAAAATATTCACTTATTTAGCATGTTTCGAAAAAACGGCATATGTTGAGCGATTTGCTGTTGTTATTTACAAATACCAATTATCAATAATCCGTTCAACGTCCTTAATGAGTTGAGCATCAGTTTTTGTTGTTCTACGCTCGGCTTCACGCCTGCTAGCAGCGAGCTGTCTGGCAGATTTTGCTTTCTGCATTTCAGAAATATAGAAATTGGCATTTCAATAAAATTTAGGGGTTTATATACTTTTATAATTCAAACAATTTTTAATATTTTTAGTATTCTTACTTAATATATTTTTCCCATATTGTCAATATATTTAAATAATTTTCTCGATCTAACTTCTTTTAAATATTTCTCATTTTTCAAATTATTAAAACATATATAAAAATTATATGTCAAATTATATGAAATACTAAAAATTTTAATAAAGAAAACTATACTTCAATAAAATTTAAATAAATAAAAATATAATATTTGTTTGATACAAAAGAATGGGCCCTATCTCAAAAGAAGGGCGGAATCGTTTTTTTCATTACCTGCAAGGAAAGGAAAAATAGAGAAAATGAAAAGAAAAAATGAGACTGATTGACACGGACAAACAAAGCACGGATAGAAACGAGTCCGTGTTTTGTCTGTCCGAGTTCCGCTCATCTTTTCTTTCCATTTTCTCCATTTTTTCTTTCCATTTTTCCTTTCCTTGCAGGTAATTAAAAAAAACGATTCCGCACTTCTTTTGGGATAGGGTCAAAGAACGCATGTATTTATCAATTTCAATTTTTAAAAAGTTAGACTTATTTTAACATGGCTTTTACAAATATAAATAACAAAATATTTAACTAATCAAATTTACTTAATTCAAGCTAAAAATAAAATTAAATTTACGAAGTAAGTCAAATGTACATATTTTTATTAAAGAACGAGGAAAATTTTATCATTAATAAATTTAAAAAGATAATGAGTAATTGATTATTTATTTTATTTGATGAATTTTTTTCAGTTTAAATAAATTTACACGGTGAACGGAACTGTTATAGGTTAATATTGTTATCAGGCATTGATTCCACCGTCCAATTTAAGATTATAGAATACTTTCGGCCAGTTTAGTTTCGAAGTTCCATGTGATAAAGTTATTTTTCCCTGTGATTCAGTTCCCCGAACTTCCCCTTCCTTTGCTTTCAAAACTTCATTTTTTAATTTTTGAGTCATTGCTTTGCTTTTAAACAAGTTTTGACTATATTCTTTTTCCATTAAATTTTTCACTTCCTCATTATTTTCAGTCTTGTCCTTATTTGTAATTTTTTGCTTTGATTTAAAAGTTTCCCCAAGCTTTTGATTTGGAGGATCTTCATTTAACAATTTATGAGCGTTTGTTCGCCGCTTTACGGCGAACAAACGTTCGTTCTAACTTTGAAATATTAAAATTGTTAAAAATTACGAGGTTTTAGTAAATTCGCACCTATTTACTGGAAGACTATCACTCACTAATTGAGAGACTTCTTTTGTCACATAAGCTATTGATATCTCACAAATTTCCGGGCCCGATCTCTCACCTACTTCGAACTTTAGGCATTGACCCCTCGATTTTAGGTGACTGATCTTGAGCCATTTAACGGATCTGTACTAATATTTCCTAACTGTATCGAAACCATAGATATCTTCAAAAACCCTAGAATTCACTGATAACCTTCAAGCGTCCCATATACAACGTAAAAGATTACTTTTATGTTCAAATCGTAGGCTCGTTTCACAAACAATTGTCTCCTTTTCCTATTACCTCTCAAATCCCTTAACTCACTCATGATCACACAACGTAAAAGATTACTTTTATGTTCAAATTGTAGGCTTGTTGCACAAACAATTGTTTCCGTTTCTTTATTGTCACACTTATCAATCTGTATATTAATAAATGCCTTTAAACCATTATTATCAGTTTGTACGTTTTTTAATTTTAAAAAATCAAATTGCAGAAGTTCCTTTTCATTTTTCTTTTTTTCACTATACCTCCGCTTATATTCTAGAACTTTTTCCTCATTATTTATTTTCCAATTTCGTTTATATTCTAACAGTTTTTCTTTATTATTCTTTGCCCATTTTCGATTCAATTCTCTTTTCCTTTCTCTATTTATTTTAGACAATTTTTTATTTCTCTCAAGGTACATTTCTTTATAATTTAGATACGTCATTCTTCTCCATTCTTTCCTCTTTAACTCTCCTCCTTCTTCATTAATTCCAGGTGTAGCTGATGATTCAGCTCTATCATTTATTTTTAAATCTTCTGAATCCGCAACTCTAGTTGACTTGTCTTGATCATTTTTAACAGAATTAATTAAACTCCAATATATCGAATTGAAGATTAAAAAGAATAAAAAACTAATTAATTTCATTTTAAATTAATATTAAATTTTTTTTTCTAATAAAATAATTTTTATTAATTAACGCTAAATAAAAAGATAGGTAATTTAATTTGAATATATGTAAAAGCACCCGGTGTATTTTGACATATAATATTTCATAAATGCACTTTTTAATGATTATATGTAAAAGGTCAATATTGCTAAATATTGTGTAAACATATTTATTAAAGCCGCCGACAAATTATGAAATCTCAAAGGGCATTCTCATAAACCTCATAGAAAATCTTTAAATTAAAATATAAAATCTATCAAATGAGTCTGAAGAGCTATAAATTGAATGAAAATGGAACGTTTTATATAATACGAGCGGCTAGGCTCCGCTTAGCGGAGCCTAGCCGCTCTTTCTAAAGCAGACAAATATAACTTCTAAGCTTATGATTGGTTCAAAAAAGCCGGTTTTTGACACTTTTTTGCTCTCAAAGGTAATTCATTTAAACAATTAAGATTTTCTATAATTTTCTGAAATTCTGCCGATATAGAAAAACTGTGGAAGATAAACTGTGGAAGATAAATATAATTTTCTGACAAAAGAATTGTTATATCTTTATAACAAATATAGATGAAAACTTTGAATAAGATAATAAGGAAAATATACCCTAAACGGATTGAGGAATTACACAAGGAAAAACTCAGATTATTCATAGTCCTTAAAGAAAGAAAACATGATCACGAGTTGAGACTTGAGTATAAAATTGTCTCAAGAAACTTGAAAAAACAATTAAAAATTCACCATAATACATAATAAGGAAGAAAAAATAATAAATAAAGGTGAAATTCGATACATAAGTTTACCCAAGATACAGACTTACCCAAGATAATAACATAACCTGTTTAATTGATAAAGAAAATAAATTTTACTTTAGTAATGAAGTAAAATGTAATAATTTAGGAAAGGAATTTCAAAAAAACTTCCAAAACAAAAATATTAATCTATCAAATTATAACAGAAATATAATTCCGAAAACAAAATTTTTGACATAGATTTAAGTAATAGCATTGTATAGTCTGTCCTCAGATCACTTACTAATCGTAATTCAACTTCCCCAGATAACATTGCTTATATATTATTAAAATATTGCGCTGACTCATTTGCAAAGATAGTCACAGATATCTTTAGATGTATTATTGATAATGGGCAAATTCCAGCAATTTGGAAATCATCACTCATTATTCCACTGTATAAAAAGGGAGAAAAATCAGATCCAAAAAATTACCGTCCAGTATCGCTAACATGCACCTTATGTAGGATTCTTGAAAGAATTATTGCACAGCAATTAACAAAATTCTTAGAAGATAATAAGTTCTTTAATAAAAATCAATTTGGATTTCTAAATAAAGATCCACAATCACAGTTATTATCTACCATGGATGATTTATATAACACAATACAAGATGGATATAACATAGATATTATTTATATCGACTTTGCTAAGGCATTTGATACTGTACCAATAAATATTCTTTTAGACAAATTAGAAAAGACAGGCAAAAGTGTAAAAGTTTATACTTTTCTTAAAAACTTCATATCTAATTGAAATTTCAAGATAAAGATAGGTGACCAATTATCCCACAACCTTTATCATTCTTAGGTATACCTCAAGGAAGCGTCCTAGGATAACTTTTATTCCTTAATTATATAAATGATCGTCTTAATGAATTCCCTGAAATTGTTGGATTAAAACTAAACGCAGACGATGAAAACTATATATAGCTCATACAAACGGCAACGAAAGAGATCAAATTAATAAAGCTTTATGTGAACTTGAAAAATTGAAAGAATTACATGGTTTAAGAATATTAAACTAAATGCTATGCTTTATATTTAGTTAAAAATAACATGAAAAAAGACATGGATTAAAAGTAAAAGAAACAGAATTTATTCGTTATTTTGATTTTTGTTTACATACATAAAATTCAGATCAACCTTTTGTTTTTCTGAAATTCAAGAATTTAGATTATTCAAAAATTCTGGATCCTCCAAAAAACTTAGATCAAACACATCATTCTGGCCATCACTCTGTTGAACAACATTTGAATCTGCTGTTTGAGCATTCCCCTCTCCAACAGGGTATACAATTGAGCCAGATAAATTGTTTACACAATCATAAGTTGAATTAACAAGAGAATTTCCTTCTGAATTATTTATCTGTCCATACTCTTCACAAATTATTTGATCTTTTCCTTTATTTTCACAATTATTAGTTTGTGGATTAATAGAAGTACCTAAATAATTATCAGATTCAACCTTTTTCACCTTTAAAATACCATTTTTGCATATTACTTTTTGATTATTCTTCTGTCGGCGCATTCGGTCATATTCTCTCTTCTTTTCTTTATTCTTTAGGTAGTATTCATGATCTGTATATTTCTTCCTTTCACTTATTCTCTCTTTATTCTTTTCCCAATATTTTCTACCATATTCTAGCTTTTCTTCTTTATTCTCTTGGTAATAATTTTTAAGATATTCCTTTCTTTTATCTTTATTGTTTTGTCGATAGTTTTTATTATATTGCTTTCTTTTCTCTTTATTTTTCTGGTAGTGATTTCTATTACATTCCTTTTTCTTTAACCTTTTTTCTTCTTCTTTATTTTTATTTATTTCCTTTTTTGTAATTGTTGGAGTTGGGTTTAACATTTCTCCATATTTTTCAATTTGAGGGGCGAACGATGATTCAGCCCTATCATTTGATTTTTCATGTATAACCAAGGTTCCGTCAGCTCTTTTTAACTCTTGTTGATTTTTGTTATTTTTAACAGAATTAATTAAACACCATAATATCGAATGGAAAATTAAAATGCTTAAAACATAAAATAATTTCATTCTAAATTAAAATAAAAATTATTTTAATAAATGTTTATTAATTACCGCTAAATAATAAGGATAATTTAAAATGAATATAGGTAAAAACACCCGGTTTATTTTACATATATTTTGTAATAAAGGTATGTACTTTTTTATGATTATATGTAAAAGGGCAATATTGCTAAATAGTACTTATTTTGTAAACATATTTATTAAAGCCGACAAATTATGAAATCTCAAAGGACAGTCTAACAAACATCATAGAAAATCTTAAATTAAAAAATTAAAATTGATGATGGTAAAATGAGTCTGAAGCCGGATTGTTTAATCCGGATTCGGATATCCAAAATTTATGGATATTCGGACCTGGATTCTTCACCTTTACTCTAAAAGCAAAAAATATAAGTAAAATGTAACATTTTATATGATATTACGAAAGCGATCAATTTAAATGTATATGGTTAATACATGTAATAAATTAAATTAAAAATTGAGGACGAAAATTTTTATAAAATCAAAGGAGAATATTTTAAAGTTTGACAGTTGAAAATTATTAAAATCAAAACAAGTTGACTAGAATTGTGGAAGCTTCAAAAAATTTCAATTATTCTTCATTTATGGTAGTATTTTAGATACTATTTACCTTAAGCTATAATTTGACCTTAAGCAGCAATTTTGACTTTAAGCAGCAATCGATGATTCACGCCATCATTTAATATTATATTTAAATCCTTTGAAGTTCCTCAACTCTACTTAACTCCTTTTGATTTTTATTATTTTCAACAGAATTAATTAAACACCATAAACCGAATAAAGATTTCAAACATCAAAAAACACAGTTTAATTTTAAATTAATTTTATATATTTTTTAAAAATAAAATTTTTATAAATTATAAAACAATAATTTCTATTTAAAATTTGAACGGACACTAGGCATTTCTTAATAAAACATGGTGGAGTAAAAGGTCAATCTTACTAAATATCATGTCGAAATCTGTTTTCACAGACATAATTATAAAAGTACTAAAAACGTTTGAGAAAATGGCATTTGAGATTACATAATTCTAATAAATATTTTGACAATATATTTAATAATAACGACCTTTACTACACTGTTAAATATTTTTTATTTTGTATTCCATTCAACTTTTATTTAATATAAATTTATTATTTAATAATTTTTTATAAATAAATTTAGAATGAAACCTGATAGTGTTTTAATTTTTTTATTCTTCAATTCGATTTTATGGAGTTTAATTAATTCTGTTAAAAATAATAAAAATCAAAACGAGTTGATTAGAGTTGAAGAAACCTCAAAGGAGTTAAATAAAATATTAAATAATGGGGCTGAATCATCGGTTGCCCTCCAAAATGAAAAATATAGAGAGACTTTAAAATCAACTACCAAAATTACAAAAAAGCAATTAACTGAAAATAATGGAGAAAAAGCTAAATTAAAGCAAAAAGAATATATGAAGAATTACTACCAGCAACACAAAAAGGAGATAAAAAACCAATATAGAAATTACTACAAAATAATAAAGAAAAAAGACTACAATATTTGAAAGATTACTATCAGAAGAATAGGGATAGACTGGTTCAAAGCATGCAAAATTATAGTCAAGACAATAAAGAAAAGATTCGCAAATCTAAACAAAAATACTATCTAAAGAAGAAAAAGGAACGAGAAATCCTACAAAAAGATAAGTCAGAATTAGGAAACATTCAAACTGATAATAATGAAGGAACTTCTTTTGTTACTTCACAAAACGATGAGTTTATTGAAAGGGACACTGCTGGAAATAATGAGGACCAAAAAAAGTTAGCGAAAAAAGAATATGATAAGAATTATTATCAAAAAAATAAAGAAAAGAAAAGAGAATATGATAGAAATTATATTCAAAAGAATAAAGAAAAGAGAAGAGAATATGATAGAAAATATTATTTAAAAA